AACAAAACAAAAACAACCCCACCCCCTCCAAAAGGTATGGTTGCTTTCTGTCTTTTATTTTGTACCTGCTGGATGCTGGCATTGACACCACTCTGTCTCTGATGCCCTTCCCCCCCTCCCCTTGCAGGAAAACAGATTCTCTGCACTGCTTTTGTGGATCTAGTAACAGGACCCCCTTGAAGGGGACCTCTGCTTAGCTGCCAAGTATTTTCCCCTCTCAGTCCCACGAGACAGGAGTACAGGGCCTTGCGCTCCAGCTTGATCCAGGGCAGGGGGAAAGGCAAATGGCACCGCCTGTCTTGGTGCCAAGGAGATAAACATAAACAAAGAGGACTCCTAGCTGATTTGAGATTGAGAGGACCTGTTGTGTTAGAGGCGCCTGGGCACACATACATCCTGGTCTGCAGACCTCCCCAGAGCGAGAGGGAACCTTGTTTTTACACTGAGTTTCTTCCCAGGGTATCCTGTCTGCCCTGCATTACATCACAGTATGGGAAAGAGAGGCCCTTCCCCTTCCTAAGCCTGGAATGCTTGCAGCCAGCCCTGGCCTGGATGCAAAACGCTCATCAAACCTGTAATTTTAACAACGGTCTAGTCATGAGCCGGACTGAGGCGTCCGCTGAATCGCGGGTGGAGGGGAGGTTTGTGCTCATTAGGCCACCACGCCTGTGCTCGGGTGACATCATCGTGGTGGAAGGCAAGGAACGATCGAGCTTTAAGTGTTTTAAAACCTGTGTCTGTTGGCAACCGCTCCTGCTTAGTTCCCAACATCTGGGATGACATCATCCCCCTGTCTCTGAGTTGAGCCTTCAAGGGTTCATGGCAGGGGCATTCCACAGTGAAACACCTCAGTGGCTCTGGGTTCCTTCTCTTCTAGAGCCTTCAGCAGATAGCTAGAGCCCCTTAGGCAGTCTTTATGGGTTGGTATGGCCTTGGATTCTGGGGATGCACTCACAGGGGTTTTCCATACGAAGCCTTGGTGCCAAGCCATCTCTTGGCAGCGTGTGCTGGCAATAAGGCCGGGCCTATTGCAGTCGCACACCCATTAGACCTGCTAACTGGCTCCCCCAAGAGGAAGCCTCCAGAAATGCAGGTTGGGCCTCACAAGGCTGTAGATAAAAGTGTTCTGCAGGGAAACTACATCGGGAGATGGTGGAGTTCCCAAGCAAGCTGAGAGCTGTGACTCCTAATGAATGTTTGCCAAGTGTTGAGCAGCATCCCTGTGGCCAGCACACGTGCACTCACACTGTTAATGACTGGGGTGTACTCTGTAAATGTTTGGGTCTGTGACAACTCTGCCTTGGAATTCACCTCTGAACTTTGGCTTTAGGGGTTAAAACTTTGGTGTCAGCCTCCTGGCTGCTCACCTAGGTAGGAGAGGTGCTGTGCAAAAATAGAGAAACCGGAGCAGAAATATCATGCAGAATCACGTGATGACGACTTGTGCCCAGGAGGGGCTTGTTCATGGTTGCTGTGGGAAAATGGGCGGAGCCTGGGAAGACGGTTCAGGGGGTACAGAGCTTGTCACACAAGCGTGAGGACCATGGTTTTGGATCCCCAGAAGCTGTGTGAAAGCTGAGGGGCATCAACCTCAGGACTCCACACATGCAAACACACATATACAAAACAAAACAAAACCTGGTCATTCACAGAGGGCTGTGACACCTGTATCCCTTCCCTTCCTCCTCTGGCTTGCTGGGCTCTTGTCTGCTCCATTATGCGCAGGGCACCTGATGTAGGAGCAAAGTGAACTGGCCTGGTGTGGGTGAGGAGACCAAATGGCTTTTCCTAAGCCCCTGGACCTGAAGAGGACAGTGAGGGACCACGCAGAGATGCCCAGATATCTGGAGGGACACTCTGCAACCCTGTCCCAATCCTTCCAGCAGAGAAACCGTCCCCTGGAGGGGCCCCTTCAGCACCAGCGTGTGTATGGGCCCTGTTGTGTCACCTGTGTGGCCTCTAGTGGGACCCATCAGGGGAACTAGGTTAAGGTGCTGAGGAGTCGCTTTTTCTACTTGGATTGAAGGGATCATCGGTACAGATGAGCTTGATTTCTTTGCGCTGCACTGGCTGAACTGGGAACTCATCCCACTGGGAACAAAATGAAATAAAAGGACAGATTTTTCTCGAAGCAGAGGGTGTGAGATGCTGTCACAGCATATAAGAAACAGCCTGTCCCCAGATTTCTCTGCACACTAGCAAGGGGTGTGCTTGGGCAGTGTTACCCCTGGTCCAACAGATTTGTGACGGGGACAAGTTCCTACTGCTCAGGCTGCCAGGCCCTGGTTCTGAGGGGAGTGTGTGTGGGAGGACAGGATGCAGTTTGATACATTTGTAGCAATCAAAATGGTGCAAACCCTGTGCTCAGCTTCCTGGGAAGCAGATCCTGTGGGCGTTGGACTTTTTTTCAATAGGTCCCATGGTTCCTCTTGAGTGAAAGGATCCCTTCCTGAAAGGCCAGAAGTTGCTGTAATCAGCTCCCGTGCTCCCCTTGGAACATCGGGTCCAGACAAGACCAAGTCTACATCATGACCACAACACAGCCACGGTCCACACTATGGTCTACACCAACGCCATGGCCCATACCATACCACAGACTCTACACCTCCAGTCTTCACCACAGCTCCTGTAAATAGACCCATAAGTACATCTGACTAGTGTTCAGAAACCTCTTATGAGAAACACCAGCTGAGAGTCTCGCTTCTGTGGAAGAAGGGAGCATGGATCTGCAGATCGCAGTCTGGAAAGGCGGCCTGGCCCCCAGCAGCACATCTCAAGGTGGGGCACACCGCCCCCTTTTAAGCCTCAGCTGTATTCTGCACAAGAGTTGGGAGCAGGTGGGGACGGCAAAACACGGGCAAGAGCTGGCTGTATTTTCCTGAGTCTCTTTTCCCCACCCACATTGATTTATGAGATCGTAACTTAGGCGTCACAGTCGTTATGATGAAGCAAGCGTAGGAACCATGCCTGTTTCTTAGAGGTGGACAGGGTTAGGGCAGGATGCTGGTGCCAAACCCCAGGCTTGCCCATTCTAATAAAGTAGTCTACCCCTGAGCTACACTTCTGCCAAAGAAAAGTATTCTTAACTTTAATGTGTCACTTTTTATATGCACTGTGGCTCCTCTTTATATGCACACTGAAATTTATCACACACACACACACACACACACACAAATACCATACATATACCATACACACACACACCATACATACCCCACACATATCATATACACACACAAACCACACACACCATAAGCACAGACACATCCACATGCAGCACACACAACCACACACCATATGACCCACAGACACACACACACACACACACACACACACACACAGGAACCACAGAACTTGAAACGCTTATCAACACCATTAAACTCAGCATGAAATGTCACTACAAACTGAAGTAAACGCTTTTGCAGCCACACGGTCCGTCTCTTACTCCGTCCCGTGACTAGGTTGTAGCAATACTGGAATGCATACCACTCTGTCAACTCTGTCTGTTCCAGCCTGGTGCCCTCCGTATCAAACAGTGACGAGCTACATGTAACAGTGGGCCTCACATTTGAGAAGACGGCTGTTTGGAAACACGTGGTCCCTATTCCATTGAGGACAACTCCTAGTTGCCGATTTGGGAGAGAAGGTGGGTGAGCACACCAGGTAATACACCATTCTCCTTCCTTACCTCCTTTCTGCCCTCTTCAGTCTCTTATCATCTGTAGTGAGGTGGTCCTTCTGTGGCACTGACCACGCCCATTGACCTCCTTCCACAGGTCACTTCCGCCCATGGCTCCACCCCCAATGGGCGTGGTCAGTGCCACAGAAGGACTATCTCACTACAATCATCTGTCTAAATTCTCTCCCTATTCAAGGACTACAAGCTCTTAAACACCACAGAGTTTCCACCCAGTGTCTTAATTATGTCACGTTGTAAACATTAGACACAAATGATGCAAACATTGTAAAAAAAAAAAAAAAAGACCCAAAACCACATAAAAATAAAAATGTCCTTGACTTGTATATTTCACGGAGCCAGTTTAGGCATCTTCCCCCGAGAGGCTTTGCCATTTGTCTCTTCTTCTCTAGGTCACAGAGACACCATGACTTCACTGTCAGGTATGGATTTCTCAAAAATGACCTTGGTTCCCTTTGAAGTTCCAATCCTGGCCAGCCTGGAACTCAGTATGTAGACCAGGCTGGCCTGGAACTCAGTATGTATGTAGACCAGGCTGGCCTGGAACTCAGTATGTAGACCAGGCTGGCCTGGAACTCAGTATGTATGTAGACCAGGCTGGCCTGGAACTCAGTATTATGTAGACCAGGCTGGCCTGGAACTCAGTATATATGTAGACCAGGCTGGCCTGCCTCTGCTCCTCATATTACTTTGTTTTTGATGGCTTTCCTACAAATCCGCCCTTATCTGAATGGCTCCTGAGCGTGTCCAGTGGCCGCCTGCACTGAGGCGGGTACCTGGAGCACTACTGGGTGGCTGGCCTATTGCCCTTACCCTTCTAGGCTGAGGCAACCCCTGAGAGTCACACGACATTGTTGCCCCTTTTCTGCGTGTGAGTGGGTGTCTGCACTCAGGCTTCGAAGGTGGACACGCCCTTATGTGTGTACACAGCAGGGGGCTGACATTGGGTGTCTTCCTCTCTCATTCCTACCTTATTCTTTGAGACGGGGTCTCTCGACGACCAGGATCTAACTCGTTCGGTTAAATTGACTAGCCAGCAATCGCCACCATAGTACTTGGCTTCTTATGGGGGGTGTCAGGGATCCAAACTCTGGTCCTCAAGCTTATGTGACTAACATTTTAGTGACTGGCCCAGCCCTCCAATCTCTCAACTACTTCTTCTTCTTCTTCTTCTTCTTCTTCTTCTTCTTCTTCTTCTTCTTATGTGTTTAAATTCATTTATCTATAAAGTCGATATTCTTTTTTTTGTTACTGACTACTGTCCCTCCTTAACCAACAGTGCTGATCTCAGCAGGGGACTGCGATGAGCTCTCTGCAGAGTCTGGGTGGTGTGGCTGCAAACGTTTTTAGCCTGTCACTAGAGGGGCATAATATACGGGTAAGTAGAGAAATGGCAGGCCTGGGAAGCAGGCAGCTGGAAGGGGGCCCTGGGTACAGAGGCAGGAGAGCCCGGAGGGCGGGACAGAGGGGACCATACCATCTAACCCTGTGTGCACCATCAACGTTTAGAAGAGAAAGCCCAGGAGGGTGGATGATGAAGCCGCGGGGGCCGCCTTGAAGCCGCTGGTGTTCCGAGTGGATCAGAGCACGCCGAGGGTTGTGCGGAGCGTCCTCCTGGAGCGCGGCTGGGACCAGTTCGACGAGCAGCATCAGGGCGTGGAGGACTGGAATCTCTACTGGAGGGCATCCTCCTTCCCGATGGCAGACCACGTCAACGTCAAGCCCTGGCAGAGACTGAACCACCATCCGGGGACGACCACCCTCACGAGGAAGGACCGCCTGGCCAGGCACTTGGCACACATGAGAAGGCTCTACGGCGAGTCCCTCTACGAGTTCACGCCCCTGACGTTCGTCATGCCCAGCGACTACACCAAGTTCGTGGCTGAGTACTTCAAGGAGAAGCAGGTGCTGGGCACCAAGCCCACGTACTGGATCTGCAAGCCCGCGGAGCTTTCTCGAGGGAGGGGCATAATCGTCTTCAGCGACATCCGGGATCTTGCCTTCAACAGCGCGTACGTGGTTCAGAAGTACATCTGCAACCCTTTGCTGGTGGGCAGGTACAAGTGTGACCTCCGCATCTACGTCTGCGTCACGGGCTTCAGGCCCTTGACGATTTACGTGTACCGGGAAGGGCTGGTGAGGTTCGCCACGGAGAAGTTTGACCTCGGGAACTTGCAAGACTCCTGCGCCCACCTGACCAATAGCAGCATCAACAAAGTGGGGGCCTCGTATCAGAAGATCAAGGAGGTGGTGGGTGGGGGCTGCAAGTGGACCCTGAGCAGGTTCTTCTCGTACCTTCGCAACTGGGACGTGGACGATCTGCTGCTGTGGCAGAGGATAAACCACTTGGTGATCCTCACGGTCCTGGCTGTGGCGCCGTCCATCCCCGAAGCCTACAACTGCTTTGAGCTTTTCGGGTTTGACATCCTGATCGACGAGAACCTGAAACCGTGGCTTCTAGAAGTCAACTACAGCCCTGCTTTGTCCTTGGACTGTTCCACGGATGTCTCTGTGAAGAGAAGCCTTGTCCATGACATTATTGAACTCATTTACCTGAATGGCCGAAGAAGCGAAGACAGAAAGCATGGCGGTGGCGGCTGCAGATCTTCCTCCCCTGGGAGCTCCAGGGTCTCCTTTGCTGGGGGGAAACAGCCTGAGCTCCTCCGCAAAGCCCCCGAGTCCCTTCCCCTTCTCATACGGTTTGCAAGCAGGGCGTGCGGTAAAAACAACCCCACTGCACAGAGCCCTAGGCACACACGGACCTCCCAGCTTAGAGAAATGATGAACAGACAGCGTGTGCTTGTCACAAGGGATGCAGCCAAAAGCAAGCCAAGGGTCAGGGCTTGGCACGCGCCCCACAAGGTGTTCTCCCTGTATGCACCGGTAGCTCAGTGGCAGCCCCACAGGATGAAGGGGCCCATGGGTGTCTTCCCGGAAGCTGGCTCCTCACCAAACGACAGCGCGGGTAACTTTGTACTCATTTTCCCTTTCAACGAGGCTACTTTTGGAGCCTCTAGGAATGGATTAAATGTCAAGAGAATAATCCAAGAGCTCCAGAAACTAATGAATAAACAACCCTCAAGTGGTAAAAACTAAAATCCAGAAGTAAGGTGAAACTTTTGAAAACTAAGGATTTGTTTTTCTTCCCTTTCTCTACTTTTATTTTTTTTTTAATATTATTTATTTATTTATTTTTGGACAGGGTTTCTCTGTGGCTTTGGAGCCTGTCCTGGAACTAGCTCTTATAGACCAGGCTGGTCTTGAACTCATAGAGATCCACCTGCCTCTGCCTCTGCCTCCCGAGTGCTGGGATTAAAGGCGTGCACCACCAATGCCCGGCTTTTTACTTATTCTTTGAGACAGGGTTTCTCTGAGTAGCCCTGACTGCCCTGGGGCTCACTCTGAGGACCAGCATGTCCTACGAACTCAGCGATCTGACCTGCCTCTGCTTCCTGGATACTGGGATTAATGACGTGAGCCACCACCACACAGCTGGGATTTCTACCCCAGAAGAGACGATAGGGCAAGCCTTTAGCATGTGCCTTTAGCACACAGCCTTGTTACATGTCACGAAGCACCGTGGCTCCACTAGGATGGCCCCATCAAACACTGGTCACATGACTCTGCCCGGTTAGGTTCCTCAGGTGGCCTGGCGGTAAGTATATTAATGGCCACCTCTTAATTCAGAGACACGTTTCCCTGTGTTATACAATCTGCTCCTCGTGACAGGAAAACATGAAAAATATTATAATGTTTAGAGGGGTTTCTTAGGTAAAACAGTACAAAAATGACAGGGATCACCTTTTATTTGTAATCAGTCGTTGTTTGCAAAAATTATTTTTGGGGGTCCTGGAAGAGATGATTCAGTGAGAACTCACGTCTAATCCCCAGCGCCCACACAGGAAGTCAGACGTGGTTACACATGCTTGCCACCCTGGCACTGGAAGGGCTTCTGCAGGCTGTGCGTGCACATGCGCGTGCGCGCACACACACACACACACACACACACACACACACACACACTCCATTAGGAGTGCAGTGGATTACAGGAAACCTAATCGTTTATAGATTTTGCATCCCAGATCAGACCCCGCGCAAACAGCTGCCCAGACAGATGTCTCTCCTTGAGTCTGTCAAGTTGACATAACATGAAGCGTGGCACAGACAGTGAGTTCCCAGGGCTGAGGGGCGGTGGGGTGGGGTGGGGTGGTGTTCGTGTTCCCTCGGGGTGATAGAAGCACCCCAGCACAAGGTAGCTGAGACAACCACGTGGCTTCTTGAATGTGCCAAGGGTGATGCTTATGTGCTTGCGTTACGTGTATCATAGTAACAGAATAAAGAGGCCCCGTTTATAACATCCACCCACCCACCCAACAAAAATTCTTCAGGCATCTGTGTATAAAGTGCTTCTGAGGGACCCTGGGATTCACATGGGAGCTTGCGAGACATGGCTGGACCCACAACTCAGGAGGGTTGTAGTCACAGGGAAGTCCCCGTGCTCAGAGGATAGACACTGTGTGGTCATGAGCCCTACTGCCATCTTCACTGCCAGCAGCCTATGAGAAATGTGCCCGCTGGTGCCACGGAAGGCCAGCCGGCTCACAGGAGGGCCCAGAGAAGACCCTTGCCGCCAACAGGCATGCAAGCCCCACCTCACCGCAGGGGTGGCTTGGCCCTAGGCTGCGTTGGGTGCAGCCTGTCTTGGGAACCGTTCCTGACAGCACAGACAATGGATGAGACTCATCTGTGTGCTTCTGGGACAGGCTCTACTCCTCTGTCCCCTCTGTGTGCCGTTCCAGGGTCAGTCCTCCTACACAGAGAACGGTACAGAGTCTCACCACCCAGGCCCCAGGCTGGGTTTGCTGGACTGGACCCTGGAGCCTCCCTCCAGTCCCTGCTGGCTGCCCAGGGGTCTGCCAGGAGACACCCCCCAGTCTTGCTAGCCTCTGTCCGGAAGATCTGCTTCTCTCTCCAGCTGAAGAGCAGCTGGTTCCTTCCTACTTTATTATCCTGGGAGTCTTAGGTGTTTCTGTAAATGGGCCTCAGCCCTCCTCGACTAGCTGAAAGCGGTCAGCCCAGGAGCCACTTGACTGTGTGCCTGTCCATGACCCTGAAGCCCACCCAGTGTCATAGGATGGCCCTCATTTTAGTGACAGCCCAAGGCCCTGGAGACAGTTCAATCCATCCTGTGGCCAAACAGAACTCAAGAGTCACCAGAGCCCTTCGTGACAGGTCTGCAAACCGAAATCTCTACTACATACTCAACAGCAGCCATGTGACCCAGACCCAACCACACACACACACACACACACGCACGCACACACACACACACACACACACACACACACAGAGCCCTGCACCTGGAAGCAATTCCATCTACTCAGACTTAACCCGAAACCAAGTGGCTAAAACCAATGTGTGAGAGCTGAAGCGAGACACTAGTTCCTTCAAACTCAAAGTCTAACAGGCTAAGATCACAAGAAATCGTAGTCAACTGATGGGATTGAGAAAGCAGCGCGTAAATTGGAAGCTAAATATTGTAACAGAAGCCACTGGAAAGAACTAGACAGAAGCTCTGACGCCAAGGAACACACCCACAGGTGAATTTAGTAACATGTATGTAGGAGAAAGATTAGTAAATCCTAAGACAGGGGCTATTGAAATTACCTAGTTAGAAAAACACAAAGGAAAAAAGAGATTGCTGTGACGGACCTGACCGTGTTTGGGGGAGGAATATGGAAGGACTTTGGAACTTTGGGCTAGAAAAGCCACTCAGTATTGAGAGCTTGGTTTGCTGCTCTGTGGGAGCTTGGAAGGGAGAGCGATGAAGATAACAGGGACCTGGCTTGTGAAGTTTCAGAGGGAAGTTTAGAGACTCTGTCAGGGCCATTTGTTGTTTTGAATTAAGGTCCGGTGGTTCTGGTTCACTGGGGCTGAAGAGTCAGCTGTGATTAACAAGATACCAGAACTGCTCAAGTGAAACCTTTGCCTTACTGGGATACTCGATGCTGGTCGGCTAGAGCTGAGAAATTAGCGGTGATGAAGAAGAGACCAGCATGGTTAAGGTGAAATCTTCCGGGAAGTGTTTTTCTGAGAGTTAGTGCTGTATTCCAGAGGTGAAGGGGGGTGGGTGGGGAGAGTGGGGGCAGAGGGGTGGGGAATGGGGCGGGGAATGGGATGGGGGGTGGGATCGGAAGTGACCTGAGTCCTTTGGAGCAGTCCAGAAGATTGTGAGTGGATCCCAGACATTGGACATTGAGTTAGTTATTCACCCCGTTTGGTTTTCTTTAGTTCAGATGGCGGCTCTCCCCTGGCTCTTCCCTCTTGAAGGGAGTATTCAACTTATTTTTGATTTTACAAGATCCTGCAGTTGAGAGACTAATTTTAAAGGAGATCATAGGGTTTTAAAAGACTTCAGAAAAAAAATATCTGTTTTTTTTTTTTTAAGAGACTGAATTTTAAAGTGTTTGAATTTGGGACTTTTAAAATTGATTAAAAATTTTTTATATTGTGATGGTGATGACCATGTGTGATCTAGGGGATGGACGAGAAAGGAAAGGTTAATGGGGCGATGTTTGTGTGTCGGGTTGACAAGGAGAGTCACATAATCTGTTCAGCTCACATGCCCAGAGCTCTGTGAAGTTCTGTTGCATCCTCTGCAGCCCAAGGCCCGTGGTGTCGCTTAGAATGGACTCAAAGTGGCTGTGAAAGTTCTGGCAGCTGTGTGCCCTCGCTGAAGACACGTGCAGCTCTATGGAGGCCTTGCTTCTGTGAGCCTTTCTTCTTGCATCCCTCATCAATTTGCAGAAGCATTTAAAGGGCATCATCAGTTGCCTAACTGAAACCCTGTGCAGAGCCCAGCCAGACAAGGCATTCCGGAGTACCGGGCTTACACAGGCAAGGAGGATTTAACAACTCGCTGAGGCGACACAGACCCTAGCTGTAAAGACCCTGCAGAGACATATAAGAGGAGAATGCACAGGACATCTAAGGAAGCGATGGCATCTGATTGTCTACTCCAAAGACTGGTGCATCCCAGGATGAGCCCAGAAAGAGATCTGTTTCCTACCTTGCAGACCCTCTGCCGCCAAGAAGGCAAGTGCACCTGCCCTGTGGAAATTCTTATCATTGACTCCAAAAGCTAAGCTGGGGCAAGGGGGCGGGGGGGGGGGGACCGTGGCCAGCCATTCCTTTCCCCTGCCTCCAGGGGGCACCTACTGGGCACAGTCTGATAGCTTGCAGCAAATGTTCTTTGCATCTACTCAATTTGCAGCAGTGTGGGGAGAGGACACAGAATTAAAAAAAAAAAAAAAACCCATTCTTGGAACCCCTTATCCGTCAGAAGACAAGCTTTGCGGCTCAAGCCCACACCAGTGAAGGTGGGCTGGAAGGGTTGCCGAGTGCCAGCTGGGGAGAGACCTCCCTTGCCTGGGGCGCAGTGGGGTGCTCCCTCGGAAGGGAGGGGGCACCAGGAACAATCAGGAGGCGCGGTTCAAGTGTGTTTCTGTGGTTTTATATGGGATTTTACTCATGTCCTTGCTGATTGACAGATCATAATTACTCAAATTAATGGGATAGAATGCCACGTGAGGCTCTGTCCAGGCTCTTCAAGGTGGTTAAATCATGTCTACTAATACGCCAAGCACCGGTGAGGATACATCTCCCCCCACCCCCCAGGATCCCGCTATGAGGAGTCTAAAAAGGAGAAGGCAGCAGGCAGGTGTTGGGCATCGGCTGCCAGTGATCAGGCTGTTCTCTTTTTTATCCTCTGCTCCAGGTCCAGACTCTGATAGAAGACACTGAAGTGTGGGCAAGGCCCCGGAAGCCATGCTTATGGGAGCCTCATTCCTGGCTACTGCTCCTCTGACCTCTTTCCCCAGATGGTAACTATAGATGCTCCTTTTTATTTCCTTACAATTTTTTTTGGGGGGGTGGTGGTGCCTCTCTTTCTCCTGATGTGTGGGAGATCTCCAGAACTGTTGGGTTGTGGGGGGTGGGGGGTGGGGGGAATCCACCAGTGTTGGTTGTTGTTTGTTTTGTCTGTTTTGGTCAGAACTGTAACTGGAGCCTGGTGCCTGACAGCGAGTCTGGTGGATGCTCTACTTCCAGTCCAGGATGACAGTCCCCATCTCGTCCTTGACCCTGACCCTCCCTGAGGCATACTTGGTCTCTTGGCAGCCATTGCAGTACACGGTCTTGGTGGTGCCATCTGGGAATTCCCTCCGCTTGAACCTGGCCGTGTGGATTTCTTTTTGTCCGTTGCTGAACATGATGGTTTTGTCTCCATTCCTGTGGAGCACAGACACTCTGGTGAGCGGTTGCCAGCCAGCGGGCAGCGTGGGGGGGGGGGACCGCCGGAGACAAGTGGTACCGTAACACCGCCTAGATTCCCCCCCCCATCTGTCTTGGAGGAGGAAGGATGGAGTAGGGGAAGGCATTTGAGGTTTTAAAGACATAAGAAGCCCATGCTGGCTGAGCGTGGGAAGGGGGTGGATGAGGGAGCTGAGTGGGGTTGCAGGGACCCAGAGGCCTGAGCTCTATAGAATCTGGGATGTGGGAACACACTGCAGGGGCTGATGGGGCTGAGGTCATGAAGGAAACATGCCCCCAGGACACACCATAGTGGGGGGGGGTGTAAGGAATACGGGACATTGGGAGCTGCTAAGGGGAGTTTACTGAACTCTTGTCCAGGCTATTGGGCAAGATATGGACGAAGGTCCTGTGGACCTTGTTGTCTGCACAGGGGTTTGGCACATTCTTGTTGCGTCTGAGGTTCTTGTGTACACACGCTGCGACTGATTCGCACTTCTACACAGAGTGGCCTTGGAGAGGTGGAGGCTGAAGCTGCACTCAGGGCGGGCCGGCTTCAGTCACCTAAGCGTCCGCACAGCACGTGTCAGCTAAACACAGTAGCTCATCCCGAAAAACGGGGGGGGGGGGGGGGGGGGGGATTTCTGTGATTACGACATTAGTTGATGATGTTAACTGTGGGGCCACCTTTGTCCCTGAAGTCAGTCACTGAGTGAGCACAGTTTGGGGGTACATACGGCTGCCCCAGGAATCCTAACATCTAAACTCATAGTCTCTCTAAAGAGACTCGAGGGCACAGAAACTCTTGTAGGTCCAATGGCATTACTTCCTGGAATCACAGCTGTTTTGTAAAGTAATTATTTGATATGCATGAATGTTTATCTGCATATATGTCTGCAAATATGAGTGCCTGGTGTCCATGAACGTCACAGGAGGCCATCGGGCCCCCTGGAACTGGAGTTACAGATATTTTCCAGCTGTCATGTGGGTGTGAGAACTGACCCCGTATTCCTTCCAAGAGCAGCCAGTGCTCCTAATCTCTGAGCCACCACCTCTCCAGCCCCCACCCACCTTGTTGTTATATTTAAATGGCTGCTTGAACGTTTACAAACATCTAAATGACTACAGGTACATTATAGAACACAAACGCCAGGATCAGAGTCTTGGCTCACGCCTGTCAGGTGGGGTGCTGACCTTTTCACCGTCACACACGTCCCATCAGGGAACACAGTCTCCTCACATCCATCCTTAAGTTGCTTCACGGTCCCATCGGGAAACACGGTTTTCTTCGAGCCATCCGGGTAGAACTTTTCTGCAGGGTACATGTGTTTAAAGTATGTGTTAATACTGGGCAGCCTGTTCTCTCTGGCAGATCTAAAGGCAGGATGTCTGCTGCCCCTTCCCTTGATGCTCATAGGAGCTAGCAGGCTCCGCTGGGTGACTTTCTTACCGGTCCACTTGTTTGGAAACTGCACGACCTCGACGCCGTCCGGGTAGGTTGTGTGCGTGGTCTGAGCATCCGCGTAGTAATATATCTGTGGAGACCAGGTAACCCACGTTGGGAGGCAGGCAGTTACCTCCACCCATGTTGTCATGTTAGCCTCAAGTGAATCTGATTAATTACCTCCTGCAGGTGAGTTCTGTGGGGACGTCCACAGTCTGGAGACAAGGGGATCGGGGCTTTGCCACTTGCACCTGGTTGTTTCGGGAGTGTGGGGTGCAGCCTAGCTTTTGGTTTTCTCACTAACCGTGCGCTAATGCATGACTTACTGGGCCTTAGTGCCCCGCGGGGTCTGTAGCTGGTGAGGTCTGGGAGGTGGACGTGGGCCCCCACAGTTTTCTGGGTAGTGGCGGGGTTCTCCCAAGTGCCTCGGACATTTACGCAACTACACGTCAGGAGCTGCCCGTTGACCCGGGTGTTTCCAATGCTCCCTTCTCCCTTGGTTTCCAGGGAGGGAGACAGAGGGAGCAGGAACAACATTTACAAAGCGGGAAGGGGTTGGGGTTGGGGACAGGCCATGGGGCTGGAGACAGGTGCTCCTGATGCTAAGGCCCAGCCACATTTAAAAACCACGGGGTCGAATGGGGCATTTGTTTGAAAAGGATGAATAAGGGAGACCCTGCTCCTAATTCACATTCCTGGCGGGTCACACCGCTGTGACCCTCTGAGACGGAGGTGTGTCTCTACATCCACCAAAGTCATAATATGACTGGGAAATCTGTGGCTCTGGCATTGGGATGCCTTTTGTCAACTTGGCACAAGCGATGGAGCGTTAATTGAGAAGACCCCTTCCTCCTTCATCAGGTTGCCCTGCAGGGAAGTCCGTGAGGGCATTTTCGTGACTAACAATCGATGTGGAAAGGTCTAGGACCACTGTGTGGGTTGGCGCCACACCTGAGCAGGCTGAGCAAGCTGCGGGAACACAAGCCGGTGAGCAGTGTTCCTCCGCGATCCCTTAAACTCCTGCTCTCAGCTTGCAGTGGCGACTTCCCTCAGTGAGTGGTTGTGGCATGTAGGATAAATAAGCCCTTTCCTTCCAGAGGCTGTCTTTGGCCGCGCTGTTTATTACAGCAGCAACAGAAAACAAGCCAGGAAAGAGGCGTTCTCTCTATATTAGCCACATGTCCCAAGCCAGGTGGATCCTGTCTCCATCATCATGTAAATAAATACCACTGTTTCCTCTTGGCAGATCTGGAGATGTGGGCGGAAGGAAACAGCATCTCCTGGGCAGACCCCTGGAGAGAGGCATGCCTCTGTACTTGTCACCAGCACTTGAGTAAAAGTCAAAGCAGGGGAATCTCCCTCCTAGCCTGTACTGAGCCCCATTCTCTCTCCTAACTTGTCCTTGTTGCTACCCATCTGTCACCCTACGTCTGTCCATCCTTCCTACCATGTCTGCCTAAGAAATACATCTGTTCCCGAACCTCAAGATGAGGCAACACTTCTGTTTGTCCCCACTGGGCTTCCTGAAAGTCACCGTTTAATCTAAATAGGTCTCCCAGGGTTTCCTGGTCCATTTCCCTAGGCATGTAAGTTAGCTCAGTGAGAAGAACATCTGGGTAAAGAGAATTCACAGTGGAGGACGGGGCGCTGGTGGGCCACCGCTGAGGTGCAAATCTGTGGGGGCTGAGACTGCAAAGAACCTCGCTGGCATCTCACACCAAGGACAAAAATCCTCACTGACAAGAAGGTTCTGACCTCCGGCCCTCCCTCATCTCCTGACACCAGGAAGACAGATGGATGAGCATCTGTGGATGGTCTGCTAGCAACATTGTGGCAGCTCTGGCTCTGAAATACACGGGTGTGCCCGCTGCACCCACCACTCTCTGATCCGGCTTGACTTTCTTCATGTCTCCATTAAAAAACTTGATGAGGATCGTCTTCTTGTCAGCGCTGATCTCCTTCCTGGTTCCGTTGGGGAAGGTGATGACGGTCCGCCCATCGCTGAGCAACTGCTCCACCTGGATGGGGACACAAGAACTCCCGGTGAAGACCTACAACAAGCATGGTCACGGCAGGTTCCACCGTTTCCCTCGTATTCAGATTCACTGCCCACCGTCCACCTGGCACAGTGGACACAGACACACACGCAGGCACACACTACGCAAGCAGGCGTGTGCCGATGAGCTCCCAATCCCCCCCCCCCCGTTTTGTTGGTCAATAGCTAAGTGTTATGAGCTGTTCCTCAGTGTCTGCCTGCCTTTGCCTTGATGGTGTGCATTTGCCCATGGCTCTGCGTGGTCTCTGGTCATGGGACTGATGAACCTGAAATCCTGGGCCAGATGAAATTTCAGGGTTACCATGTAAAAAAATTAACTTTTTTTTTTTTTTTTTTTTGGTCTTCCCTATCTTAACCTGTCAACCCATATACTAATGGCTTCAATTTAAAAAGAAATCAGCAAATAAGTAACTTCTAATGTATGCTGCTAGGCCCTCGGTAGATGGCATTATCCTGTGAAGATTGGTGTAAACAAAGACACTGGCAGAAATAACATCAATTTGGGGAGTTAATAAATGTATTTTTTTAAAAAGTAGCATTTATTAATTATGCCACATATTGATAGCTATCTTAGTGTAACTGGAAAGGGAGGGTTAAAAACCTATAATCATAGTTAAAAACTAATACTTCTGAAAAAAATCAGAGAACTAGCCAGCCGAACCCAGCTGACAGCCAGTAGAAGGAGGTTTCAACTAAATCTACATACTAAAGCTTTGCAAATGCACGAGTTGTTCTAGGGCCAGAAACGGAAGGTGAGTTGTTATTCCCTGCCATCCAGAAAAGCTCCAGTGAGAGGCTTCAAACGATCTGCTGCAGTTTCCTGTCACCTTGTGCCCTGTGGCATTGAGCATCCCCAAACATTTGTGGTGTGGTATGTTACATACGGCTGTCTGGTCTACAGCAGACACTGACAGCAGACAGCTCCGACAGGGACAGCTTTGTGCATCCACTCCTCCATGCTTTCCTTGCAGTGCTTTAGGCCTCGTTGGTATGAAACACTGCTATGCCAGTGCAGCCTTGCTCATCACGCTCAACATGCTCTTGCTGGCACCAGGAGCATGAGGGACTGAGAGGTGTCTAGGTTTGTGGGAGTCGATACAATGTTCACACAACGGTGAAATCGCCTAATGCGGTTCTGAGAGCATGCCACTACAATTTACATTATAAAAATAGGATGCGAGTCGGGTGGGGTTGGCGCACGCCTTTAATCCCAGCACGTGGGAGGCAGAGACAGGTGGAGTTCTGTGAGTTCAAGGCCAGCCTGGGCTACAGAGTGAGTTCCAGGACAGTCAGAGCTGTCACACAGAGAAACCCTGTTTTGAAAAACAAGAACAAAAGAACCCCTCTCCTCCCCACCGCAAAAAATAGGATATGAGCCACAAAAGAAGTTATAAAGCTAATTATGTTCTAGTTTAGACTTTGCCATGGAGTTTTCATTATTTTCGATGGTGGATAAGTGTGTAAAAAAAAAATGTATTGGATAGTGAAAGTGTAAAATTCATCCTGACTTACCACAGCCTGAGACTGGCTGTTCTTCGGGTCTGGTTAGTTTTAGTGTGCGACTTTTCTTACTGCCAATTTTTTTTTTTTTTTACACCACAAAGTTTTAATTGCAGCAAGTAAAATTTGTAATATTAAAATAAACGACAGATAGAATTTATAATGACAATTGAACAAGAAATGGATGCTGGCATGTCCGCTGCAAGGCACATATAGATGGATGGATTCAGGGCGAAGGGTCGGAAGACACAGTGATGTGACAGGGGCCGTAAAAAGAGGTGGTAGCCAGGGAGCCGGGTGGCGAGGTCAATGCCCAGTAGCCAGACATGGCAGAATAGGATGCCAGTGCATCTTAACAGACTGCGGTGGTCCACACCTGAAATCTAAGTACTCGGGAGGTGGAGGCAGCAGGATCGGAAATTCAAGGTCACTGTGGTACATAGTGAGCTTGAGTCCACAAAAGCTGAGACCTGTCTAAAAGTAGAAGAGGGGGCAAGGAGAGGGAAGGAGGAAGGAAACTTTAGCGCAGAGCTGTGAAGTCAAGCAGAATTCCCTGCTCGTCCATTCACAGGGTTCTCTACTTTCAAGGGTGAAGATCTACTCAGCACAAAGTTCCAAAAAAGAGAGGGCGAAAGTGACGGGGTGCCTTGAGCAAAGGGCCTGGCTGTCTGTCGTTGCCTCCGACACCGCTAAACGCTACCGCCGCGCCCACAGCAGCTCACCCCTTCCTTCCGGCCCTCTCCAAGTCAACCTCAGCCCTCTGGCAGCAGATCTTTGGGACAAGAGCATTTCTTGAGGTAGCAGTGGGGAGGCCATGAGGGAGTGTTTGTTACTGGCAGCAAGCTGGTAACCAGAGGTGCTCTAGAGAGGTGCGCTGGCCCCCAGCTCCGGGACAGTCTGCTTGCTGCGACTATGCAGCACAGGGAACGTGGCAGGGTAAAACCGCGCGATGCCGACACCTACCTTGCCATTTGGGTGTCGCTTTTCCTGTGTCTCATCCTCCTTCTCATCCATGGAGTGCAGTGCCTCCCTAGTAGGTCCTGACCTTGCCAGAAGATTCTATGGAGAGATTATAACTGTTGCCTCCTGTGGTTCCCCCCCCCCCCCCCCGTGAGAACTACAGGGCCGACAAATGCTGGCTCTTGGGACCAAGTTTGTGTTTGTAAAGGTGAAAGGTGTTTCTCCCCTCTTACGGACCATGCCTGATCCGTACCGGGGTGAGCGTGGTGACAGTCACCACGTTCTGATTCTGAGTGCCCGTCACCGAGGCCTTGAGATGAATCGGTAGCAGGGGTTTAGTAGATGACTAAACCCATTTCACATTGCTGGTAACGTTGGGAAGGGCTAACTGACTGCTTTTAGGGGACCCTCTCCTCACTGTCCTCACTGCCCACCTTTGCATGGTTAAAAAAAAAAATCTTTACAATCTACATTTCCTCCTGTGGAGAAAATAGCTTAACTCTGTTGCTATCCCTATCAGATATTATGTAGCCATGCATCTAGAATATTTCTGCTATATTTGTATCATTATTATTATTACTATGTTCATTTACAAATAAAAAGAAGAGAGTAAAACTTTGGTTTCTGGGTCCCCCAGGTCACAGAAGCTTGACCTGCCTTTGGTCATGGGTCTAATGCAGCCCTCCAATGACTAAAGGAACTCCATGTTTCTCCCAATGGAAAGGTTGTGTGCTCGGAACCTGGCGGGGGGGGGATACTTTTGCTGTGTCACAGCCTTCTGTGCTCATGAAGAAAGGATGGAGCAGCAGTTTCTGCCAGCACCTCCATGCTTCCTGCCCCAGCCTCCCCACCCCCAGGTGAAACCCTCCCTACCTACCTGCAGCCACAGTGCATTCTCGGAAAAACTAGGATGGAGCCTGCTCCCTTGAGTGTGCATGAGAAGCTCCCCTTCAGAACTGTCTGGATTGGAGGACCACACGTCTGAAACAGCAGAGAAATGCTTTTCAAGAGAGAGCAAAAAAAAAAAAAAAAAAAAAAAATAAAAAAGGATATATTCCCAGTGTACCAGTGCATTGAGTTCCGGGTCCCAGTTATGTCCCCAACACATTCTCTCTCTCTCTTTTTTTCCCCCCTGAGGCCGCCACGCAGAACCGCCAACTGACTGTGTGGAACCCACAAAGTGCCAAGCCCTGTCTGCTGGTTGTGCCTTCTCTACACATTGGGATCCATCCGGAGGGCCAAGCCAGCAGAGGGCGGAGTCTGTCCTGAGGCTGCTTCTGCCCTGGTGGGGGCGTTCGTGCGTGGGCAGACATAGGGAGAGAAAAGTTGCAAACCCAGTGATGACTGCCCACTGGACGTGTGGAAGGGTACTGGTGAAGGACGCTGTGCGCCCAGGGCAGTTGGGAGCAGGTAGAAAGGTCACCGTGGCTGAGGGACGAGAGCCACACAGCACACCCACAGCCAAGAACAGAGAGAGTGACGTATGGATGCTTGCGTGCTTGCTCTCAGCTCGTGTTCTCTGTCACTCAGGACGCCTTGGCTTAGGGGACGGTGCAGCCTGCTGCAGTGAGCTGGGTTCTCCTATATCAGTTCACAATCAAGACAGTTCCTCACAGACGTGCCCGCGGCAATTAATTCCTCACTAAGATTCCCCTCCCAGTGGCACGCCTTTAATAACCCCAGCGCTCCGGAGGCAGAGGCAGGTGGATCTCTGTGAGTTTGAGGCCAGCCTGGTCTACAGAGCTAGTTCCAGGACAGGCTCCAAAGCAAATACAGAGAAACCCTGTCTTGAGAAAAACCCCCAAAACTAAAAACCAACCAACCAAACAAACGACAACAGAATACGGTCAGCTGGGACATTTGAACACTTGGTCTCCATTTGGTTGCACAGTTGAAGGAGGTTTGATTGGTATGACCTTGATAGGGGAAGTATATTACTTGGGCCTGCTTTTCAGTTTGCTCTGTGTGTGTGTGTGTGTGTGTGTGTGTGTGTGTGTGTGTGTGTGTGTGTGTGTGTGTGCTTATAGTACTTGCCATTGTGAACTAGCCCTTTGGAACCATAAGCCCAAACAGAGTCTTCCTTCCACAAGTTGCCTTGGTCATGGTACTTTATCACGACAACAGAACTGTAATTCACAGAGGTCCAGAAATGCCACACAGGGACAGGGAGAGTCAGAGCTTACCCATGCACAAGGGCCCAGGGCTCAGGATGTCAAAGAGGGTCTCACATGGACAGTGAAAGATGGTGCCCAAGGGTCAGGCTACAGGTGGCCGGGAGGCCTCTCTCTGCCCACTAAGGGTACAGCTGAGCCTGGCAGCCAGGGCTCTGTGTAAAGTCTCTGTAGCAGAGCGTTCATGCCCACCCTCAGGCAAGCCCAAGGACACAGAGAGTATGGTGGTCAGCAGCTGTAGTGAGACATTCTTCCTGCCATTGTGGGAACCAGCAGGTGAGACCCACAGGGTCAGGAAAGGCTATATATACACCCAGACAGACAGCTTTGAGCTCAGAGGGAGGTCAAGCAAGTGTTGGGCAGGAAGGGTTACAACAGATAGGAATGTCCCCAGCCCAGCCAGCAGAAAAGGAAGGGCTAAGGATGGCCCCGGAGAGCTGGTCTGGGCTCTGCAATGGTGTTGGGAGAGGTTACTAAGCCAGATGAAGAGGCTCAAGGAGGAATCAGACAGAAGCCAGGGAGCTCTAGGGACCTTACCCACATGCTACTTCCCCCTCTCCCCCCATTCATCTCACCAGCCACTGACTCTGTGTCCAGGACTGTGGTGTCCGACGGTAGTTCTGGTGATATCCTGCCAAGGTGTCTTTGTACACAGTTGGAAGACAGGTGCATAACCTGGGTACAGAGAGAGTCACAAAGCCAGCGATGCCATCACACCGGTGACCGGGTGCTGTGCACAGCTGTGTTAGCTTCCAGATACCCCAGTCACATCTCAGACTCTACCAAGAGCACTGGGCTCTGTTCCAGGAACTCAGACAATTGATCTAATATAGAAGATCCCCACCCATGCAACCGGTAAAAACAAAACAAAATCAGAAGACACAAAACGACCACTGCAGTTCTACTTAGCTTCTTGCTTTAGTACTGAACTTGTGTATGAAGACACTCAGCTTTCTAAACTATAGGAACATAGTTATGATTAAGAAATTCCCGAGTCAGCTTTGAGTAACAAAGTGAGTTCTATCAAGAACTTCATGCGACATCAGGATTTCATGCTCCCTGGGATAAAGCAGGATGTGTCCCTGGGGTGAGGAGGTAAGGCAGCTCGGAAAAGGAAGGTTGGCAAAGTGCACTCTGCCCAAGCACTAGGGTCAAGGTTCTGATCCCTAGAGCCCACAAAAGGCCAGGCGAGGCAGCATGCCTGTGACCCCAGCACCCAGACAACAGAGACAGCTTGCCTGCCCTGAAGCTTGCCAGCCAGAGAGTGGAGGCAACCGGTACAGCTCAGGCTCCGTTAGGAAATCTCAAAATGAGGTAGAGGGGCCTGGGGACGGACGACCCATTGGTAAGAGCTTCGCTACCGTTTCAGAGGACCCCATTTCGGCCCCCAGCACTCATTGCTGGATGGCTCATAATCGCTTGTAACTCTAGCTGGAGGGGATTGAGCACACTGTCTTCTGGCACCATGGGCACATGGATGGTTCGAGTGAGCACACTCACACGTAAAAATAACTCATAAAAATGATGTGGAGACAGGTACAGGAGAGAAAGGAGAGAGAGAGAGAGAAAGAAGAGGGAGGGGAGAGAGAGGAGAGAGAGGGAGGGAGAGGGAGGGGGGAGAGAGAGAGAGACTATACACAAACAGCACAAGTTCCCAAGGTCACCTTTTCATCAAAAGACATGAAAGACATCCTTTCGTCTAAGGAGTCTGTTCCTCCAGTTGCCATTGTGCTGCCGTTCCGAAAACTTACAGAAGGGGCATCGTCTCTTTCATCCCATGATGTTGTTTTATCTGAATCAGTTCCCTCTATCTTTATGTACACTGGCTAGAAACAAATGTAGGGGATACTTGTGTCAGCATCGAATAATACTGCCCCAAAGCACCAGTTAATTCGGCGTTATTTGCAACCCCGCAGCCTGGACTATGACAACCCCATGTTTTCAGTTCCTTGGGGTGGGGGGGGCGGGCTAAACCGCTCTCCACACACCTCCCCCCACAGTCTCAGTCCAGAACCACGGTACTCCGCAGCCTAGAAAGGATCTGACACCATGGTAAATTAAGAAAGCGAGTTTCTAGCCCTTGCGTTATTTTTAGAAATCTATGGTTCTGAAGTGTGGCTTGCAGGCAAGTCTCCATTTTAGGTAACAAGTCTGTAGTGGGTGGCATTGATGGATACCCTTTTCCTCTGGTACCCTGTGGGGTTACCTTACAGCACCGTAGAGACTAGTTAGTAGGGGTGAAGCTTCTGGCTGGATAACCAGCCTGATTTCTCCATCTCAGTGGGGGAAGTTGTGTCTTCAGCCACAGAGCCACATAACCAGTTTCTGGAGAGCAACCAATAGCCTTAGCCATGGCCTGTTATGTTTGGGGAGTTCTGTGGGACGTACGCCTTTGGCCAATGCCTGGACAAGATGTAATCCATTCCTGACCCCGGAGGATTTATTTAGTTGGTGGGATAAGATGTCTAGTTGGGGTATTGTCTTTCCTATTATATGTCGACTCCATTTAAATTCCATATGGGAAGCTTCTAGAGGAGTTGGACCCTGTATGACTTTTCAGAAGGCATTTTATCACACAATGCTCACACAGCTGTCCAAAGACCTGAGATACAAGCCTTCCTCCTCTGGAGTCTTGTCTGCAAGTGTGGGCTTGGTATTTGGAAATGCACACTTTCCTCCGAGGAAGAAGGGGCAGTGTGAACCTCCAACACTGTTTCTCTGGTGCTAACCTACAGCTGTGCGCCTCGCACACACGTGTACACTTGGCAGACCTTTGGAGTTCATCCCTGGAGCTGTGTTTGAAAACATATCCCCGGGAGTTTGTACCTTGTCTCTTGTTCTAAGGTTAGTGTTTGCAGTGCATGTGCTGTTCTTGCATGCAGTCCCACGAGGAGGGGGACTGTGCGCAGTCAGCGAGCACTGAGAGGCTGGCATCTTAGGGGGATGGAGGGGATACCCTGTTGCCTCGTGGGCACATCTTACCCATGCACCCCAAGCAAGGGGTAACGGAGGCAATGCGCTTTCCATAGGACCCCTCTCAGTCACTAAGTCACAGGGTTATTTATATCTAAGTCCTCCTTCCTCCTCCTCTGCCTCAGCGGAGTCAATGGCAGGATCCAGCCCATCGCTTAAGGTGGAGTAGGAACCTGGAACCCTGCGGTGGCCTGGCCAGGTGTCCAGCTGTTCTATGGGAGCCTGTGAGTATCCTGGGGACAGAGTGGCAATATGCTCTGCTCTCAGGGCTCCTGGGGAGGCCCAGCCAAGACTTGCTGTCACTTCTGTGTGATTTATAACGGAGGGACAGTCTGTAAGCCCTGCAAGGGAGGGGGCACGCCTTCGTGTGCTATTTATCTTCGCAAGGCAGAAAACCTGCTGTACCAGAGTGTTGGCTGCTTCTGCTGTGGGTGGCGTGGCCGGGGGGCTTTTCGTGGCTTCCACGCCCTGGTGCTTCAGAGCCTGCAACTCCTCGCGGAGATCCTGGTTCTCCTTCATCAGAATGTCGATCTGGCTTTGGAGGTTTTTGTGAGCGGCACACCACCAAGACGCCTGCCTGGTGAGCTCTGCCGCAAGGTCGCAGATCTGCTTCTGCAGACCCTGAGGTTGGGAGGGGAATGGCAAGAAAACTCTTAGGAACCCCAAGGAAGCGCCAAACCCCTCCCAAAAAAAAAAAAAAAACAGAGCCCTCCCCACGGAGATTGCGGACTCCTGGAACGCTGTCCGCCTCCAGAGGGAACATGAGATGTCCACAGCTTCGGCCATCATTGCCAAGTGTGTCCACCAGGACTTACTCCACACACTCCAATCAGCCATGGCTGGTGAGGTATTGCTGTTGCTAGAACATTTCTGTGAAAGACATTCACTGCTCTCCCGCAGCCATCTCCTTTGGGGGCAGTAGATAAGGAGTTGCCACCGTGAGTCCGGAAATGACTGGGACCCAGACTCTAGTAATTCCCTGCCACCTAACTGCTCTGGACTTCTTCTTTCCCCACTAGAGAAGCTGAAGCAAAGTTACCTAAGAGTGGAAAATGTCTAGCATGGAGGGCTTTACTTGGAAAATATCACTAGGTTTTGTATCTGCTGATTTGTGAGGGGTTTGGTACTTTATTACACGAGCCCAACTTCAATGTCACATATCTGTTCCTGTTAGTGTATGAGACGCCGGCAGTGGCCGCTCCCACGTGCTCACTGAGCTCCATGACCTAGGCGCTGGTGGCAAATGGACAAATGAGAAGAATCAAGTCAGGAAAGTGCCTTTCTGCCTCACTTTGCCCAAGAGGACAGGTCAGGAAGGCAGAGGCACCTGCATGTATCACAGAACATTTAGTACTGTCATCTGGGGATGCTGCTGGGTCTTGGAACACCTTCCACCAATCATAGTGATTGCTTTCCCGTGCACCTCCACAAGCTCAGACTACTTTTGGCTACTTGGTGACTTCTCCTATGGTCTCTGAGCCCCTTACTGCAACAGGATCCTCACATGTTCTGTCAAAAGCCCCCCAGGGTTCACACTGCAGCTCTGTGACATTAACAGGCCACCCTCTATAAAGTAAGGGACCTAATACCCCACCCAGTACTGACGAAATATGTTTAGGTAAGGACTTAGTGATAAATAAACGCTGTCAACATCAAGGTCATGGTGGCCACGCCACTGTATCTCCAGCGTCCACACTGAGTCCTCAGGTAGGCTCTGATTGATGTGTTTTCCTAGCTTTCAAACGGCTACTGGAAGCCAGAGAGTTTTAAACTTCACACCCCAGGTTTTCTGTGGACCTCTCCAATTGACCCAGTGGAAGCTGCAGCCTTGTTCTGAGAATAAATGGGGTCAGATCCTAAGAGCCTCACATGGAACAGGGGCTGGATATGTGGAAGCGGTGTGTGTGTGTGTGTGTGTGTGTGTGTGTGTGTGTGTGTGTGTGTAAGGACCGGGGAGTTTGCTGTCACGATCTAAGGAATGCAAATCTTCCGAAAAATCAGATGCATTCTCAGAAGTCGGAAGGCTACTCCTGGACTAGAAGGGAATCATGGTATTCTGTATCCTCAGCCCACTCAAAGGCATCCCAGAGGCTGGGACCAGAGTTTGTCTCAACAGAGAATAGCACACCAGCTCACAGCCAGCTCACACTGAGGGGAAACCAGAGTTGTAGAAAGGAATGGCAGGTCTCAAGACAAGAGGCAGAGTTCTACCCAGTACATCCCCCGTTCAAGGGCACGGTGCTTCTTGGTCTGGCTTACCTCCTCAGGCTTTCTGCCCTCTCCAGGGCCCTGAGCTGTAGCATCCATCTTCTTCTCATGGTTAGCCCCTGCTCCCTGACTCAGGTCCTTTAGCATCGCCTGACTCCTGAGCCTCGAGGTGACCAGTGAGCATTCTGATTGTAAAGGAAAAGGGTCACGGGGGCATCTTAGGGCATCCCACCTCTGCCCTTCTGAACCTCTTAGGATGGAGAAAGCCCAACCATGCTTGACTGAGCTGCCTACCCTACTGTCTGGAAAGTTTCTACCTGGAGCCTGACCAAGAAAAGGGTTCCATGTCTGGGAACCACAGAGTGGAAAGGACCCTGCCACTTAAAAGTGGTGCGTCCCCAAAGGTGGGTGGGAGATGCTTTGACCTGAAGAGTAAGCATGGTACCCAATCACCTGAGTGATCTTGGCCAGCATTACCTTGAGGTGGGCAGGGAGGGCACCTGGGAAATCTTAGTCCTTCATCAGACCTCTGCTGTGGGTGTCTTTGACTGCCTCTCAATGGGACAAACCCCTTGTCCCCAACCTACAACTCTATAACCTAAAAGGATGACTTAGAAGGTTCGTGGAAATCTGAGAATTGGAGCAGCAGGGAGAGCCCAGCAGGAGATGGCTGAGCAGAGAGGAAAAGCTAGAAACGACCTTTCATAGGATGGGACAGGTGCCAGCAACCAAATCAACACCCTACTGCCCCACTATAGATAATCCCCATCCGCCTTTCAGTGCAGTGTAGGGGATGGTGACCACTGGCAAGTTTGGGAAAGAAAGTGAGGGCTGGTTATAGTGTCAGGGTTTCTCAGGCAGAGCCTTTGGGAATGTCCTGACCCCAAATCCCAAATATTAACAACATGTTTCCTGTGTCTGCCCTTGTGTTCATAAATCTAGGCTGTATATATAAACAAGGAAGAGAAGCTGAGCCACAGTGACAGGGAGGGAGTCTGGCTGGAGACGAGGTATTTCCTAATGAGAGACAGACAAAGGCATCTGTAGCAGGGCCATTTGTAGACCACTTCATCCTTGCTGATCCCAGACCCCATGGTTTTCTGCCCAGTTGGACTGGCATCCATGGCTTCTCACAAGGAGGACTCCACACCCCCCAGCATTGGCTCCTAAGCCCCTCTCTCCAGGGAGTACCCTCCCTCCATGCCCACCCCACCCCCCCAGGGATCCTGGGTCACTTCACCTAGCCGAAGATGGTGGCTTCTGTCAAGACATTGCTCATCTAGATCATATCCCAACAGCTCTCTGTGCCCTGCACACAGCTAGCTTTAGAACTCTGGGAAACCTGTCCATTCTAAACTGACTCTCTGTCTTAAAGGGCCACGCCAACCCATGCAGCCTTGGGATTTTATAAGGTTAAACGACAATTACCCACGATTCAGCTAGAGTCAGCTCACATCCATCCACATAGAGAAGTGTAGGGAGCCAGATTGTCTGCCCGGTTGACGGCGATGATATCAGGTTTTCCACGTGCAACAGAGTGAAAACTCAATTCTCTCAGCACAAATTCTTAAAAACAAAACAAACAAAAAAAAAACATAAAACTTCTTTAATATAAAAACAAAACTGCTCAGGGATGTTCCACAGGGAGAATATGATGTCTCCAAAGCTAAACTGGAGGCCAAATTTCAACATTCCACAGAATGCTTCTTCTAATAAACGATCCCTCTGGGTTTTGTGATTAAGAAACAGTGAAAGAGTTGGAGTATAGCCTTAAGCTCTAGCCCTCACTTCTTCCCCACAGAACAGTATTTGGAGTAATTAAATATTTAAAGGCAAATAGAAGAAACATTTTTTTTTTTTTTTTTTTACAAGAGCATGCCATTCCATACCTAGGGACCCTTGGTCACACTGATCCTAGGTACATGCAGAGTTCTAACTGTTTTGGGCTTGACAGCACCACTCCTGGAAGACCTTAAATTGCTTCTCTTTCTATCATCAAGTTTTACTTGGACCAGTCCTTCTTAGCCAGAAGAAGCCAGGTGCCCGGGACTTTGATTGTACAAGACGATGTCCAGTGTTTGGCTCTAGTCAGAGGTGATCCTGTCTGATGAGGGATCCCTAGCATGGGTCCATGTGAGTGTGTCTGCTGAACCCTCCCGCCTCACAGCTGCGAGAGAGTAGAGCTGCAGAGGTCAGAGGTCAGCCACCTCCGGCATACGCCACACCACTGCAGCTGCTGCCTTGCTGGAGAGCAGGCTGGATGGAGGATGTCACTAGTACACAGGTGGAAAAGGCCACACTGCATTGCCTTCTGCCCACTCCGATGGGCAAACGTTGGTTGGGGTGAGCCCCTCGGAAGTGCCTGAACCTGCTTGGGACATTGTTCGGTCGGACGGTCTGTGACACGGGATAAAGCAGAAAGCAATAACAGTACAGTACAGTACAGTACAGTACCTGTACTGCATTCTAGACTGGCAAGGTGATTCGGGATTTTACCTCCTAGTAGACGTCTGAGTGTGACTATGTAACCGTGTGTCAATGAGATCTGCATTAAGATGCATTCTTGGACATTCCCGCTCCTCTGTGAGCTGGGGTAACAGTAGACTCTAGGGACGGTCTGCAGGTGTCCTGATAGTCTGTCCTAGCATAATGATGGCAAAACTATAATGTATGGCTAAGGAAGAAGGGGATTTATTAGAATGGTTTGTGGGCTGTGGCCCAGCTAGTTCAACAATGGCTGCCTACCAATGGAAGTTCGAAGAATCCAATAGTCGTTCAGCCCCTGATGCTGGATGCCTCAGCTGGTCTTCAGCCGAAGAAGCCAGACGTCTGTGTCAGGTGTAGGGTGTGTACAGTTTCCTGATGAGAATCTGAACACCAGCGTGAACACACATGATCCTGACAGCCGAGTGACACCGCGCCCGGGCGTGGGAACTCTCCTGTGGATGATGCATCCCCCTGGATCCCAGTGCAGAGTCACCGGCGCTCACTTTCATTTTGCCTGGCTTCTTTTGTCTTTTGAGAAGTACTTTAATCTGACAAGCAACCCATTTAACCAAGCCTGAAAATTAGCAAACCGGCCAAAGTGTCCTTTCTCAGATCCCCGGGCCGTTCATGTCAGCAGTGTGGGATGAAGGGTTTTTGTCATCTAGAGCAATTATAACTCCATTTACAGGAGTCGTTTCACCACAGCACCAAGATTGCCTGGAGGGGGGAGGGCAACCAGAAGCCAGGAGGATCTGCGCAGAGGATCTGCACATATGCTGAAGCTCAGGATGCAGCTAAGGTGATGGGGACAGAGTTGCTCTCTTCCCTCGATGCAAATATCAGACACAGAGCGCTGCAGGCTTGGGCTTGTTAAAGGAACTAAACAACAAGCTACCTGCAGCGAACTCTGTCCTATCCCACAGGAGAAACAGACTCGAAGATGAGATTTCTGATGTTGGTCCCCAAACTCCACAAAATTATGATGCCACGAGTCACTGTCTCATTCATGGGCTTTTGTTCTGCTTTTTTTTTTTTTTTTTTTTTTTTTAATTCTTGAAATAGAAACTGGTCACTGGCTTAGCTCATGATGAGAGAGAGCATTCACATGTTCACATGTGAGGCTTGCTCCTGACCTCAGGGAGCAAAGGGGCAGCCAGAGGGGCGGAGTGGGACACTCATGCAAAGAAGTCTGTATCAGCCTGGGGCGGGGTGGGGCAGAGCGGGGCGGGGCGGAGCTTGAGGTGAGAGAGAGACCTGAAATGTCAAGAGAAGTGAGGGGAAAAAAAGGCCAGGAGGGGTAATCAGCGACTGTCCCAGGAGACCGCCGTTGCGGAAGAGGAGTTCTAAGACTAGACTGGAGGGTTGCTGTGATGCAGGCTTCATTGATAAATTGCCGGATGATGACAATTTGACCTGATGGCCCGTGATTATGCTCGTTAAGAGAAGACCTTGGGATCGAGGTTGATGTTAGACCCAAGCAGCATGTTTGTCTTAAAGAATCCTCCAAATCTTCCTGTCTGGGGGGTGTGAGGTGGCTCCCGTAACTGCATGGAAGAGAACAGCATTCCTGAAAGCAACTACGAGGGCAACCACTTGCAGTGGGGGTTACTACTGTTGTTTATCTCATGACAGAGGTTCGGCCATGGGCAGCTCACAGAGAGAGTCCATCCTAAGCTTTGCTTCTGACCCCCTCAGCTTCCCGACTTGGTTTCTGGTGGGTGTCCCGAGACCCGATTTGATGATGTTAGCTTTCTGATTGCTCTGATTGGGCCACTCCAATCATTTCTGCTGGATGCTGTGAGCAACCAGCTTTGTTAATGCTTTCCTACCTCTTTTCTGTATTTATTATTTTACTCCTGCTTGGAATACACCTAACACACTCACTCATTCTATTCTAGGTTCGTCTCCAGACCGCACAAAACAGTGGGATTAGATGTTATTCCTGTTAGGTTTAGATCCTTGGTCTTAGACTGGAGAGAGGAAGCAAGGGGACCCGTTGCTATTTTACCACCATGAAACTGGTGGATTGTGAAAGATGATTCTGGAAGGAGCATATAAGTAAAAGAAAGAGGAAGGTGGAAAGCCTACCTAGCCCATTAGGTCAGCAGTAAAAAGCCTGCCATGTGAGACACTGTTTATTGGTTCTCTTGCTTGGTGTTTGTTTGTTTAGATAAAGGGCCTGGCAGAGTTCTCTGGGCTGGCATTCTTCATCACCTTCTGTCCCCCTGCCTCCACCACTCTTGGCCATGGTGCATCCGCACAGCTTGTGACCTCCAGTCACTCCCAGGGACAGAATGAGGACCGAATGGGTGGAAGATTTTACCTCACTCGCAGGGCCCAGCCCCCAATGTTCTAGGTCCTATTCAGGTAGTGTGACTATCACAGAAGAGTCTTAGCAGAAAACCTGTCCCTCCCTACACCACACACACACACACACACACACACACACACACACACACACACGAGACAGAATGGAAGAATAAATGAAAACATTCAACTTTAAAAGGCCAGGGAATATTTCAAGCAGGTGTGGCAAACCAGATCTGACCTCACGTATCAAATCTAACCATGCTTTTGGCGGGGGAGGGGGGGTGGGGACTGGGATGGGGGGGGACGAGACTTACCAAGGTCAGAGAGCCATAAACCTTCCTTGTGAAACAGTCACACGGCACAACAATCTACCTGTTCCAATTGTTGTTTTAAATGTCCAAAGATGCAGAAGCCTTCGTGTTGTTAACTGTTTCTAGTTCCCTTTTCAGCGGCCAGGGCACGGCTCTGTTCGCTGAACATTCTCTGAACGCTAAGGTCCTGGCTTGGCGCCGCTAAAGTGGAACGAAACACAATTTCCCCTTTCTCAGGGACATACAAAGCAGGACAAGACTCGGGGTTTCCCCCTGTCTCTCTCCCCATACAGATTTTTGCATCTCCTTGGACCAGATTCCAGCACTGTTTCAGTATTATTTTCTCACCGAACGCAGAACTTTTGCCTGCTCTGTGGTGGGAGAGGGCATTTTCTTTTTTCTCTCAGAGGAAGGGGCATCAGGAGACCCCCTTGCTTTTCTTTTCTTGCTTCCCCTCAGAGTGACTCCAGCCCATGGCGCAGCCCAACTGCTCAACTGGCAGCTCTTTGGCGGACATAGCGGTGGGCACCATGCTGACAGTGGAATGTGCTGTGAGCCTTACAGGCAATGCTGTCGCTCTCTGGACCTTCTTTTACCGTCTCAGAGTGTGGAAGCCTTACGCGGTCTACCTGTTCAACCTGGTGGTGGCTGACCTGCTGTTGGTCGCCTGTCTGCCTCTCCTCGCTGTCTTCTATCTGAAGGGCAAGACCTGGGAACTCGGCCACGCACCCTGCCGAGTCCTGCTTTTCCTGCTGTCCTTCAGCCGTGGTGTGGGGGTGGCCTTCCTGACCACAGTGGCTCTAGACCGGTACCTGCGTGTGGTCCACCCTCGGCTCAGAGTCAACTTGCTGTCTCCAAGGGCAGCCTGGGGCATCTCTAGCCTAGTCTGGCTTCTCATGATTGCCCTTACTCCCCAAAGCCTGCTCACTCACAAGGTTCTCCAGAATTCCACCGAGTGTCCCAGCTTCTACCCCATCAGAGAGACGGAGGCCAGCGCCACCTGGCAGGAGATACTTTTCTTCCTTCAGTTCCTGATTCCCTTTGGCCTCATCTTCTTCTGCAACACTAGGCTCATCAGGACCCTCCAGGAGAGACTCCGGGAGTCTGACAAACAGCCCAGGCTCCAGAGGGCCAGGGCGCTGGTTGCCATAGTGCTGGTGATGTTTGCACTGTGCTTCCTGCCTAGCATCCTGGCCAGAGTCCTGGTGAACGTCCTTCAGGGATTTGAGAGCTGCAGTGTCCAGCAAGCCCTAGTGCAGGTCTCGGACGTCGCTGGCAGCCTCAGCTGCCTGCATAGTGCTTTGAGCCTAGCCATTTACTGCTTCTCCAACCAGGCCTTCACCCACTCATACCGGAAGGTGCTCAGGAGCCTTCGGGGCTGGAGGAAAACAGCAGAGCCAGCTAGCTGCAACCACAGGGACTCCTATTCCTGACGACTGCTGGGATCCTCAGCTCTGCTTTTTTTCAGGAACTGCCTTGAATCTTAAATAATAACCCAGTGACCTCAGGGTCAGAAGGGAGAAACTGCACTACAAAGACCCAGACAAAAGTCAGTCAGTGAGTAGCACGCTTGACTCACCTGGATTTCCCCCTGTTTCTATCACACTGCAGAGTGGCAGACTAGAACCAGCTGGGGAGATCCTGTCTCCTTTGCATGGTGGTCGACCAGATGGAGTTGCCAAGCTGAGAGTAGAGGTGGAATACTTCTGCATATCCACAGGGGAGGATTCCAATGGGCTGTATTAACGGAGGGGGATGCTGGCGTTGCCCAGTGCCATCTGGGCTCTTGGATCATCTTCACTTCCCATGCTTCAGTTCTCCAGAGTGAGAAACTGCTTTCTTCTTGCCCGCCACGGAGCTCAGGACAACGGAAGCCAGCAATCCCCGAGGTTCTGAAGAGGTTGCAGGTCACATTGTGTTTTTATAAAACTCTCCTTTGTTTTTCATAGGACCATTCAGCAAGCTACCTCCTTCACTGCAGGAAGGAGATGCCTGCTGCTTGCCTCAAACCTGACCCGGAAGTTCTAGCTGAGCTTTTCGTGTCTGAATACGGTTTCCTTTCCCCGGCGTGCTTTGAGAGAGAGGCCACTTCTTAATCTTAGTCCTGGGAAAGGCACCTGCTTTTGAAATGGTTCTTGAAGCAAGCCCCTAGGGGAGCCTAAGGGCTGCTATGCATGGTGTCAGTCACCTCAGCCCTAGGACATACAGGGCAGGGACAGCTGGTGAGCAGGAGGATTTGAAAGCAACTCTCTTCACTATTCCACATCCGTTCCCATGCTCACGAGAAAGCTGATGGCATTGGCAATACCATGTCTACTCATGGGGTTCCCTGCCTGCTTGGAGGATCCTTGTTGGGACCTACCTGAGACATTATTCAGAAGGATACAAGAGTCCCATGGACCAGGGTGGCCTACCAGACTTAGTGCCCCCGGGGAATGAGGACTGTGCAGCAGTAGTCTGTTTTGCAGGACTTATTTCCTCCTATGAGAGCAGACTCTCACAGGCCTGAGACTGTCCACTATGGCCTGACCATGCTGAGACTGAGGTCTGCTGGATAGATGCCTGTGGCTGTTCCTTCACCAGAGGACAAGCACCTCCGGCTCTCTCCTCCTCGCTCAAACCCTCCATTTAACATACGCGCTTTCTCTGTTACGTCGTTATTGCTGGCACAAGATGAGTCCCAGTTCTCTCCTGACTCATGCGTGGCTGCACTTAGGACAGGCATCCTGAGTGTCATGGCGTCCTCTGAACAGTCACTACTGTTATCTACAGTGGCAGGAGCTGTAAAACAGTTTGCCCCACTCCTTGTGAAAGCTTGGCTGGTCAGGTGTGGGGAGGCCCAGGACCCCAGCCTTCCTAGTCGTCTTGGGCCTCTGTCCTGCCCGCATGTCAGTAACCTGGGCTGTCTTTGGGACATCCTCAATACAACATTCCTGCCCTTGGGGTCCTGTTATTTTCTGCCCCCCCCCCCCCCAGGAGCCATAGAGGAGGAAACCGTGGTGCCTTAGCCAGGTAGGGATGTTCCATCTGGACTAGATGGGACAGCCCCTACCTTAAATCTATTCATGGTAGCCCAGGCTCAGAACAGCTGCTTTGACGGCTATGGGACATCTTGGAGATAGTGTCTTGCTCCGTCTCTTAGTTCTGTGGCCTGGGACAGGCAGTGAGTGCTGTCTGAGAAATAACTAAAAGGCAACTAAACCAGAAACTGAAAACTGACTGAGTCCCCTAGTGGTGAAGGGCCATCTCTTTCTGTTCTTGTCTGAAATGTCACATTGTATCAAAGGAGCTGATGAGATGCACTTTAACAATTGCCTGAGGTGAGACAGGGACATGTTGCAGAGCCTGCAAGGCCAGAAGGATCAGAGAATCTGGGGAGCTGGTTAAGGCTGCAGGGCCCCTGTGTATCTGAGGGGAGATGATTTATGTTTGACTCCAGCTCCGGCCCAGTGTTTGCCCCTAGTCTACACAACCTTGCAGCCCTTGCTTCCTCTGAGGTTCACAGCATAGATGGTGTCCACAGCTCCCCAGCCTGAAATTGTCCTGTGATTGATGCTACAAGGAAGCAGGGCCTTGAACTTGAGATCACTGACTCGGGGTACTTGGAGTTCAGCTGCAAAGTCAGAATCTGAGCCACGGTGGCATGGCCAGGGGTGGCAGGCTTTTCCTTGCTTCTTTGCTTTTCAACTCTCAGGCTTGGCAATGAGCTCCAAGGGTTTAGTGTCTGCAAACTTGTAGCTCCTCTACAGGGCGGCTAAAGCCCCAGGAGAGAGTCCTCAGGAGAGCAGCAGACACTGCCCTGTGCACAGTACTTCTGAAAAGCAGAGGCTTTTCCAGGGCTCGGTCCTGTGAGCGAGCGTTAGCTCCCAGCGAGCCACACTGGGTGTTCAGGAATGATGCAGCATCCTGGGTCCTGTGCCTGACTGTGGTTCACATTCTATTTCATCCATGTCAGCGCAGCTGCCCTGTTCCTTCTGGTCAAGGGTGCACAGAGCAGCTGGTCCTCTTTCCACCCAGGGACCTTTGCTCACCAAAGTGAGCCTCGCATACCTGGTCGTGTTTGGCAAGGGGTATGTGATAGTTTAAACAATAACCCCCATAGGTTCATATATATAAATGTTAAGAAACCAAGGGTGGGCGTTGAGGTTTCAAAAGCCCAAGTTAGGTCCACTGTCACCTAACGCGGTTAAATAAGGATCTGGATAAACAAATAGGCCGAATAGAAGTTTATTCAGGGAGAAATAACTTACAACCTAGACAGATGAACACCAGAAAATTCAACCCGATCCTCTCCTGTCCGAGTCACGCCAGAAAGAGAGCCTTTTCCTGGCCCCCTCCGACCTCCTTCCACAGGTCACTCCGCCCATGGCTCCACCCCCAATGGGCGTGGTCAGTGCCACAGAACTATCTCACTACAGTCACCCTCTCTTCCTGCTGCCTTTGGATCCAGATGCAGACCACTAAGCTCCTTCTCCAGCACCCTGTCTGCCTGCGTCCCGCCATGCTCCCTATGATGGATAATGGACTAAACCGCTGAACTGTAAGCCAGCCCCCCCCCCAATGAAATGCTTTATTTTTTCTAGTTGCCTTGGTCATGGTGTATCTTCACAGCAATAGAGACCTGACTGAGACAGAGTATACATTTAACATGGAATACATTGATTGATCAAATTCCGCTGGCATCCCCGGTTTCTTGATGAGACTCTAATTATCTTCTGATAAATTACGAGAACCAGCTCACATGGTAATAAATTGTTTTATTGTATTTCGTGAGCAGAGCTTCTTTTATATACATTTAGCTATAGTCTCATTTGGACCCATCAGTCAGAATTCAAAGGAAAGGTGTCACGGACAGCAAGACAGGAGGCGCAGAGACAATCAAACCAGAGACTGAGGGCATCACAGCGTCCTTCAGGCTTTGGCTTCTAAAAGCCTAAGGCCAGTCTCCATAGCCCACCTGAGCCAGAACCTGTGCGTCCTGCCCAGCTGTGTCAGGGCAGGGCAGGTCCTGCTATGACCTCACGGGGAGCGATTGTGAGGGGTCCAGCCAGCAGGTTTTATGCTGCATCCAGGCCTGGATTTACTGGGATGAATTGGGAAGAGCTGTGGAGAGGTGCCCAGTGTGACTCTATTGTCTCTAGTGAGGTTGTGTGTGGTTCCCTGTGTTTGGTTGCTTAGTTTGTGTGTGTGCTTGTCCATCCTTACGTGTAAGTGTGTAAAGGTATGTTTGTGCAAGCATTGCTTGTCTATGTACACCTCCTATACATGTGACTGCGTGGATAGGAGGGGTACACCTGTGTGTAAGTGTGGGGTTGGTTATCTGCACATGTGTGTTCCACTTGTGGCCAGAGAGCTCACTAGGTAGGCTAGGCTGGATGGCCAATGAGCCCCGGGGATCTCCCCAGTGTGAGATTAAATCTTGTCTGGTTTGGATTGTTATTGCTGTTTTCAATGTTTGTTTTTAACATTGATTCTTGGGTAGAGTTCAGAAGTTTTTCCTTCCAGGAGCTGATGCCATCTTGTAGTGCCTGGAGGTGGCGTCTGCCACCTCCCCCTGCTTCTATTTACTTATTTGAATTTAGAGGTGCAGTTAGTGTATTTAATGGTTTTATTTGAGGACTGTCTGGTTTTTAGTTTTAATGTTTTCTGTTTTTAATTTGTTTGTTTATTTTTCATTCCTTTTAATCTTTTCCCTTTTTTAAAAAAATGAATATTAGACAGGTGAGTTCCAGGACAGTTAGGGCTACACAGAGAAACCCTGTCATGAACCCCCAAACAAAAATCGATTATTTACCATTGAGAATGTTCTTGACCCATGGAATCTATACCTATTTGACTTTTAGCTAGTTTCAGTTTTCATTTTTGTTTGTTGGTTTGGTTTTTGCTTTCAATTTTCTAGTTTGGGTTTATTATTTTTGTTTCTGTGTTTGTTCTTAGTTTTGAGGCTATCTTGTATCTTATTTTTTTGATTTGGTATTTTGGTTCTTTGGGTGTTCGGAGTTTGGGTTTTAACATTTTGCATATTTTCTGTGTTTTTATTTGTTTTCATTCCTCTTTCCCCTTATTTCCCTTTCATATTTATTTCTTTTCATCTGTTTTTCATTTAGCATCCCAGCAGTCGAGCGGTGGCCCTTCTAACTCACTGGACTGTGAGCTGGCTTTTTGGTTTGGGTTTTAATTTCTGTTTCTGTGGTTTGGTTTTCCAGTTTTGAGTTAGGTCTTTGGTTTTTAATTTTGCCTTCTGTTTTCATTTTATTTTATTTTTCTCAATTTTAATTCCTCGTTTCACTTTATTCCTTTTCCTCGGACACAGTTCCTGCAGACATGCCACCTACAAAGAAGTCTAATCAGACCAAGGAAGAGAGAGTAGGGCTCAACCCTGTGCCCATCTTCTTTGGTGAAGAGATATTCACCAGCCAATACACCGTCCTGAGGAAATTAGGCCAAGGTGCCAACGCCAAGGTGATGCTGGCCCAGCACCGTCTCACAGGTGTCCGAGTGGCCGTGAAAGTGTTGTCGAGGGACAGGCAGTGGCGCCAGCCTTCTGTTGCAGAAGTGGACATTCTGATGGCCATCAACCACCCGAACATTGTTTCTCTCCTCCAAGTCATTGAGACCGAGAAGAATATCTACCTCATCATGGAGATGGCCGAGGGAGAACAGCTGTTTCATTACGTCTGTGAGTCTGGAGGCTTGCAGGAGAATGAGGCCCGGGAACTATTCCACCAGATCGTAGGAGCTGTGGGCTACTGCCACGACCAGGGCATAGTCCACCGAGACCTGAAACCTGATAATATCATTGTAGACCCTTCTGGAAAAGTGAAGATCATCGACTTCGGCTTGGGCACCAAAGTCAGGCCTGGGAAACAGCTTGACAGGCCTGGAGGGGCATTTCACTTTGGAGCCCCTGAATTCTTCCTAGGTGTGCCGTACGACGGCCCTAAAGTGGACGTGTGGACCTTGGGGGTCCTCCTGTTCTTCATGGTAACAGGGACGCTCCCTTTTGCCGCGCCCTCCTTCTCACAGCTTTGGGAGAAGGTGGTACAAGGGAGGTTTGAGGTCCCAAACCAGCTTTCCACAGAGCTCCAGGGCCTGATCAGACACTTACTAACTGTCAACCCCAGCCAGAGGCCAACAGTTAAAGAGATCAAAAGGCACTCGTGGCTGAGACGCGAGAGAACATCGACTCACAGCGAAGAGACAATCCCGAGCTTCCCGGACCCTGCAATCATGGCAGCCATGGCAAACATCGGCTTTAACATCCAAGATATAAGGGAGGCCTTACTGAACAGGAAATTTGATGAGACGATGGCATCGTACTGTTTACTACACCATCAAGCCCGCCAGGGACAGGACGGCTCGGTCCTCCACAAGCTCAGGGACACATCGGTGACACACTTCACCTCACCCACAGACCCTGTCTCCTTCCCTTTGCCTCTGAGGAGGAGGGCCACTGAGCCTGCCCTTCAGACAATCTTATCTTCAACAGGAAACCAGAGGCTAGAGATTGTACGGCAGCCCAGACAAAGTGCCATTGAGTGGGACAGTCCTCTCTGCTTCTATTCTTGGCATATTCTCGGCACTGCTCACCAGTGTGGCGCCAGGGCTCCCCACATTTATCCCCCATCCAGCCGTCAGGGGAACACAGGGAACATCGCATTATTCGAGGAGAAGCCCCTCCCCGGCAAGCCAGATCTTAGCAAGTGCGCAGCCTCGAGTCCCAGACAACACAGTGAGTGGAAGACGTGGCCAAGGAGGCTTGGGCAGCGTCTATCGAAGCTCTGTTGCTGCTTGCCGTCACAGAACGAGCCTCTTGCATGGCAGAACAGAGTGTCTCCCCAGAAATGAGGGGACAGAGTCACTGTCAAAGAAAAGTGAGGCTTGCAGCCAGCCCAGGTCCGTTTCCACGTTCAGCTGTACCTCCGCTTTTATTAATTTCCGCCATCAACCGGCAGATGGTAGTTATGAGCACTTACAGGGTAGAGTGTGCGGAAGGCCAGGTGTAGACACTGTGGGATGGTTGAGTCACCTCCTTCAGCAAGTGCACAGTGACGTCTACGAGTCCCCTTCACACGGATCCTTGCACGGTTAGGTGGCTAGGCTGGGGATGCAGACCAAAGCCACTGTGCTGGGACAGAGCTGTAGGATGGTACCGTGAAAGAGCCTTAGCTGCTCTGTGCCCTTCATTCCCAGCGCAGAGGGAGGCAGGAAGATAACGGATTAGGCTTCATGTGTAGGGTAGTCCAGTCATCAGGGACACCTGCCACAAGGAACTATCCCAGATAGCAGGGATAGAAGGAACCTCACATCAACAGATAAAACAACCCCAGCAAACAGGAACTGGGGGGTGGGGTGGGCACTGAGTTAGGCATTGGGGTCCCACACCCTTCACCAGCTTCCTCTGCAACACTGAGGGAACCAGAACAAGACAGGGACCCAGATTAAAATCTTCCCCGGTTTTAACCGGCTTTTTCTTTCTCTCCCCAGGTTTGACAGGCCTTCTTCTGATTGGTTCCTCGTCCACACTCCCAACCAATCAGGGCCTGAGACTGAAAGTATCTACATCCCAGTTTGCCCAGTCTGGCTCTACAGTCTCTGTCTATCAAGACTGCTGCTGTCGTATGACCTGAAAAGACAGAGCCATCTAAGACTCAACGTTTCCGCGGTAAAGCTGCCGGCGGCGGGAGGCTGGTTCCTGCCTCAGCCCCTGAGACTCAGCCCTGTCTTGGAGACCAACCTCCCTGCTTTCCCATCCGGTCAACCCTGTGAGCCTCCAGGCTGCCGAGACCTGCTCTCTCGGACCTCTCCTGGCCTGCAGTCGGCTGCAGTAGAGTGTCTCAGAGCTAGAACGTTCCCATTGGCATTTCCATGTCCCTTTCTGAACTTGAACTACTGCACTGAAATACAACCTTGTTTGCTCACACTCCCGTTACTGGAAGGAAGGAAAAGACAAGAGCTCAAAATACGTAGACTGGACGGTCGGTCTCACAATCAGGAGTGTTCTAGGTAGGACAGGCCCCAGTCTGTTTGGACTGCAGACACAGATAACAGGCAGTGAGGATTCTAAGGTCAGGGACTCTCATTCAGAGAGACACTGGTTGGCAAGGGTTCCGTTCAGTAGGGGAGATCCCTGTCAGCATGGCTTCTACCCAGTAGTGACCCAAGTCAGCTGGGAGTCTCAGTCAGTGATCACCATGCCTGGATTATTTCTTTACAGGGGTTCTGGGATCCAAACTCACGCTTGTATGACAAGCAATTTACTGATGTTGCTACATCTCTATAACCATGACCCTACTATGCCGATGTTCTACTGCTGTGAAGAGACACCATTGTAGAAGAACCTAATTGGGTTCTTGCTTACAGAGGCTTAGTTTATTATCATCATGGCAGGAATATGGTGGCAGGCACGGCGTTGGAGAAGTAGCTACTATATCCTGATCCACAGGTAGCGGGTAGAGAGAGACCCTGGACCACTTGTCCTTATTTTGTTTGTTTTTTGAGACAGGGTTTCTCTGTGTAGCTTTGGAGGCTGTCCTGTCACTCGCTCTGTAGGCCAGGCTGGCCTCAAACTCACAGAGATCCACCTGCCCCTGACTCCCGAGTCCTGGGAATAAAGGTGTGCACCACCGACGCCCAGCTTGTCAACTCTTCTAACCCTGTCAAGAATTTAATTCCCTGTGACTAAGCATTCAAATATATGGACCAATGCTTCATCAAACCGCCACGCCCCGTATGTAACCTTACAGCATCCTTCACCACAATACATGGGTGATGCTAGTTTGCTGCCACTAATTGTGAACCTTGCTGCTGCCTGAGACTGTGAGGTCTCAGCTACTGTAGCTTTTGGTACTTAGACAGATGAGCACATCAGAAATTAATCCCAGAGACAATTCCCTGGGTATCCCATTCAAACAGGGGAAGCGTTAACTTCTAGCCAAAAGAATAACATCTGCCTTTAGGTGGAGACATAGAATTAAAGATCAAGGGCAGCCTGTATAGTGAAAGACGTTCTGTCCTTCTCCCAACCCCCAACCCCCACAAGGTGCTTAGGAAGCAGCTGCTTTAAAAGCTGCGTCTAAACCTCCTACACGAAGAACAGTGTTCACACCCTGGGTCCCTGCCAAGCCAACCACACCCTGATCACCTCAACAACCTCCACCTGTGCAGGTCTAGGGTGGATTCATGCTCCTCAGCTTCACCTAGCATGGATCATCAGAGCTCAGACTCTGTGTTGTGCTCAGAACTCAGGGCCAGCAGTCGCCTGTCCATGGTGTAGGAGCCAGAAGCAATCGTTGGTCTGTCCCGCAGTGTCCCTTGGGAGCCCTGTGTGGTGCAGTCAGTGCCCTTCTTGTGAGAGCTCTGTCAAAGGGAACAGGCTGGCCAAGGCTCTAATTGCCAGCTGTGTGAGCAGGCAAGTGCTGTTACCATGCATGTGGATTTGACACCTCCTTGTGGCACATCATAATATTGCAAGCACACAGAACTGGCTGTGAGGTATGGTCAAGTTCCAGAAAGAAAAGCCCCAGATAAATAAGTCCTAGAAGGGCATGTTGTTGTCCAGGAACATCAAAGCCTCACTTAGAGCGTGTGTAGCTACAGACCAGTGATACCAGAACATGGTTCTAGGACATTCCCTCAACCTGCAGGCTGCAGTATCCATACTGAGTTCCAATTGCCATTCCCACAGCCTGGCAGCTTTCAACCCCAGGTTCCTGCTGCTGAAATAGTGAAGTAAAGAGAGGGGAGGAGAGGAGGAGGAGGAGGAAAGGTACAGTGGTGGAGTTCATCGCTGCAGTAGACTTATTATTTTAAGACGTGTTACACTTGTATATGCTGTGGGACATTTGCTTAGTGATGTACAGATGTGTGTGCTGCTTCATGTTGCCTTTGTCTGGAACTACAAGCTGAAGCAGACATGTTCTTCCCAAAGCAGCTTTTGGTCAGGATGAATACTTTTATCACATCCGCAGACATTAAACCAGGAGTCTGTGAAAGCAGGTGCACAGTCCGCACACTGCACAAGGTTTCTCTATGTAGCTTTGCAGCCTGTCCTCGAGTTTTACTCTGTAGTCCAGGCAGGCCTCAAACTCACACAGAGATCCCCCTGCCTCTGCCTCCCAAGCACTGGCATCCAAATCGTGGGCCAACACCACCCAGCTCTACTTCCTTTCCTAATGTTTCTTAAAAACAAAGCACACAAGAAGACCCACAATTGTTAAAGCTCGTGAATAAGTTTATATTTCAATGTGTGAAACGATGGCAGTAAACCAAGGGAATCATGTTCCAAATGCTGGGTGGCGAGATGCTTCGGACAGTAAAACACTTGCCTTGCAGGCACAAAGGCTATTTTAATGCCCAAAACCCATGAAAAAAAAAAAAAAAGCTGTGGTGCATGCTGGGAACTGAGGTGGGCGGGTCCATGTCTCCCCTGACCTGCCAATCGAGGCCACTTATTCAGTCCTGAGGCACTGAGAGACTGTCTTAAACAAGGAAAAAGACAACCACACCCGAGTAATACATCTGAATAGTCCTCCACCCTCAAGTACACACACACACTATAGAAAGGCATTGCTACAGCTCACAAACCATCCAACTTCCAAACGATGTATCAGATTGAACATGTCAGTATTTTGACGTTCCTATCAGTAACTTTTGTAAGGAGGTTTCTGTTTCCACATTCCCAGTTCATGTTCGCCATCTGCTTACACAGCTCCTTGAGGACTAGAGTCCCGTGAGCTTCTGATAAGGCAGGAGAGACTTACCAAAACCTGATTCTACTGCTAACCGTAACTTCGGGGTAAAGCTGTCCTAGGATCGGTCTCAGAGCTAGGCACAGTGGCACAGGCTTGCAATCCTAGCTATCATAGAGTGGAGGCAGGAGGACTTCCAAATTCAAGTCCTTAGTGAGACCCCCGTTTCTAAAGGAAAGGTGCGCAAAGGTCTTAGAATATAGTACATTGCAGAGCCTCATGTGAGACCGTAGATTCAATCCCAATTTGAGCAAACGACAAATCCACTTGGCCTCAGAGGCTTCCCCACTGTTCAGGGGACTCACTTGAAGTTCTTGGTGACTGGAATCTTCAGTTCCATTTCAGAACTGGAAGAAAGGCACTCTCAGCTACAGACGAGCCAGGTTCACCATCCGTGGGATGAATGTTAAGCTGTGCTAGAGGCTGCTGAACCCATAGCCCAGCCTGGAACAGGCTCCCTGCTTGACAACTCAAGCTCTGCCCACCTCAGAGGAGGAGAGCCATAGGAAGCCACTTTCTGAAATGGAAGCAAAGCTCACACGCTGGGGCCCTGGGACGGAGCCCAGGCATCCCTGCCTCCCAGGTTGCTGTTCCAGTTTGTGGATGCTTGCCCTTGCCTTCACCCTCCACTGCCTAGCACTTGCTGGGATGATAAGAGGGAGCCAGGTACGGGATCTTTGCAGCTGGCCATCAGGGATGATAAACATCTCATTAGCCTCACGGGAAGTCACAGGAAGACTTCTGATGCTTTCTCTTTTTGAGCTGAGTCCTTGCTTTGTGCTGTGACTGGGTCTGCGAACCCTTCACAAATGTTTCTGGAGTGTCCACGAACACTTCATTCCAATCCAGCATTCCCCAAAGCTTGTTTAGCGGAACACCGACCTCAGAAGACAGGAGCCTCCCACCGGTGTTTCTTGTCAACCATATGGTGGGGGTGGGGTGGGGCAGGGGCTGGTTTGGGGGTGGGGAAGCGAGTTTGGCTATCAGGGTCCACCTCCTGCCCACTGGTTCTGATCCTGCATGAGACTGCTTAATTTCTGTATTTATTTGGGCATGGCCTCTCTCTCTCTCTCTCTCTCTCTCTCTCTCTCTCACACACACACACACACACACACACAAGCAAGTTTCACAAAGGCTTCCGGGGGTATGTAGCGTCATGCGCACATGCTACATGGTGAAGGACGAGGCGATGTCGTTGTCCATGATCTCACTGGTCTGCCGGGAAGTGTAGCTTTCCAAGTACAACCGGGCACAGAGGAAGCCTGGCACCTTGCTCTTTCTTCTGGCACAACAGACATCCTTCACGATCTTCATGAAGTAGTTTCTAAATTTCTGCCCGACGAACGCGTACAGCACCGGGTTGAGGCAGCAGTGCAGGAAAGCCAGCGCCTCAGCCACGTTCCTGGCGTAGGCGAGGCGTATCTCACCGCGGCAGGTGCGGTTCATTCTGCCCGTGTTCGCTGCAGTTATGAGAAGGACCACATTGTGAGGGATCTGACAGGCCAGGAACACAAGGACCACGGCGATGACGACACGGATGGCTCTGTGCCTTTTGGAATTCTGGGCCTGCACCAGGGTCCTGACGATGAGCAGATAGCAGAATACCATGAAGAGCAGAGGGATGAAGAAGCCGAAGAGCAGCTCGAGCCCCAGCCCCAGCAGCTTCCAGGTGATGGGCTCCGAGACAGACTTGTAATGGGGCTCGCAGACATCTCTGCCCTGAAGCCTGTATTTATTGTTGAAGATGAAGGTGGGGCTTGAGATGATGATGGATATGACCCACACCACCAAACAGATGATCTTACTGTGTCCCAGGGTTCTGGATCGTACCCGGAAAGATTTGGTCGCCTGGACGATGGCGATATACCGGTCCATGCTGATGCAGGCCAGGAGCAGCATCCCGCAGTTAAAGTTGACTGCATAGGCGCCTTTCATCAGTTTGCACAGTGAGCTGCTGAAAACCCATGACCCCGTGGCATGGGTCACTGCCCAGAAGGGCAGAGTAAGGACAAAAAGGATGTCTGTGATGGCCATGTTCAACAGGTAAACGTCGGTCATGGACCTGGCCTTCTTGTAGAAGGCAAAGGTCATCACCACCATAATATTGCCCAGGAGGCCGAAGACACAGATTAACGAGTAGGTGATAGGCACGAATACCCGGGTGAACTCCCTGACCTCTCTCAGGGAGCACGGCAAGTCGTCCGTAGGCACGGAATAGACGGGGTCTGAGTAGTCCTCAGTTGAGAAGTATGCCTCTGTGGAATTCATTGCCTCCTGGAAAACAATGGGGACAGAATCAGGGACAGCACACTCTCAAGCCACCGCACCGAGGCAAGCTCCCACCACAAGAGTTTCTCACTCCCCCGCGCCCCACGCCCACGTGCGCGATGGTCCCTTGGTGTTGAGTGTGAAGTGGGGAGGGATTCAGTCACAGGCTCGCTCGGTCGCTCGCACAGACGTTAGGAAGCTATGGAGGAGAGAGGGCAATGTGTGCTTTAGTCATGCCGTGCTCTGGAACATTCTACCCCGAAGTTGTTTGCTGTGAAAACACCAGCTGTACGGGAAGGATTCCCTGACACTTTCCGAAGAGCCAGAGAGGGGGGCACCATGGAGGGCTCTGCAGTCCCAGCAGCTCTTATGGGCTCTATCTAGGTGTCTCAGGCCAGCTTTGGTAGCTTGGAAATCCACCATAAAGAGCATACGAACCAGTGGGCCTGATTGGACTTGATTAGTGAGATTCCAATTTCTCATCTTTGGCTTGAGAAAAGTCTTATCAGAAAAAAACAAGCAAACAAACAAACCCCACAGGTTTTAAACTGTACTGGAGTCTTCACCCCAAATTCCAGTTACAAATATACAAGAAAATCTCATGGAACAAAATCTATAATGACCTAAACGTGATCAGGAACGCACAATTTGAGGCCTGGGGAGATGGCTCAGTGGTTAGGAACACTTGCTGCTCTTCTGGAGGACCTGGGTCTGATTCCCAGCACCGGCCCACGTCAGGTGGCGCATAGTCATAACTCCAGTCCCAGGGAGAGTGATGCCCTCTCCTGGCCTCTGAAGGCACCTCTGTGCATGTGACAGAAACTTACTGGTACCAATACCATGAGCACACACAGTCCTCATGGATAAAGCCACTATGATCCTACCCTAGCAAGAAGACTGAGGGACTGAAAGCTGGAATCCCAGTGCAGTGGTGAGGGCTGCAGCCTCAGCACTCAGGGAGCTGAGGCAGGAGGATGGTGACTTCAGAGCCAGCCTGGGATACACAGCAAAACTGTCTTGCCTGAGAGTCAAGACGGTAACCCTGGTTACATGCAAACAAGGCGTACAGAAACCCAGGCCAGCTCCTGCTGAAGGGGTGGCCAGCACCAGCCACAGTGATTCCTCAAGGTCAGGGGAATGGGGAATGTGGCCTGCATAGTTCCCAGGCTAGGCCACAGGGCAGACAATTGTTCAGATGCACAATGTACTCAAGAAACAGTGTCTTCATTATGCTTGCCGATTGGGATGGTGAAGCAATTCCCAAGGACCACAGATTTGCAAGGGGACGCTGTGAGCATGTTGGGCCCAAGGCACTGTGAAACCCAGAATAATGACAACCTCAGCACAGCGGGCCCTGGCAATCAGCGCTCTCCGTGAGATGACATCTGTCACATCTGCTCGAAGGCCAGACACTCCACAGGAAATGAATCAGTCTGTCAAACCACCATTGTTGTCATAGGAACGCGCATGTTGTTGCTAGGAAATGGCACTGGTCGCGGATCTGAGCATAACTTAGTTATCTGGAGGGGCAATCTGTTGTTTTATTTATTTATTTATTTTAGTGATTTGTTTATTTTTATTTTATGTGCCTTGGTGGTCCTTTGCCTGCCTGTATGTCTGTGTGAGGGTGTCAGATCCCCTGGAACTGTAGTTACAGACAGCTGTGAGCTGCCAGGTGGGTGCCGAGAATTGAACCCAGGACCTCTGGAAGAGCAGCCAGTGCTCTTAAACCTCTGAGCCAACTCTCCAGCCCTCACTGGTGAATTTTTGGGGGTGAAGGGTAAGATGGGGTTTCTTTGTGTACCCCTGCCTGTCCTGGAATCCTCTGTAGACCAGGCTAGCCTCAGACTCACAGAAATCTGTCTACTTCTGCCTCTTGAGTGCTGAATTGAATGTTTATGTCTTTCCTTTAAAGGATTTAGAGCAAAGCAGACTGCTAGTCTTCCAAGATGGGTGCCGCTGAAAGTATAGAGCCTACAGCCTATCTTTCTGTGAACCTACAGTCAAGCTACCCCCAAGCAAGACATTCTCTTTCACACATGCCCACTAACTGGGTCTTATTTTGGCCTAAATAAGTCACGCACAAGACCCATGTTTGTCAACTGATCCTCAATGTACATTATGGCCAGTCGGTCGTCTCTGTGTTTATGCCCAAGTCAGCATATCTCAAACAAGCCTGTATGGAAATATTCTAAAGAACAAATTGATATTAAGAGAATCTGCAAGGACTTGAGAGATGGCTCAGCGGTTAAGAGCATTGGCTGCTCTCCCAGAGGTCCTGAGTTCAATTCCCAGCACCCACATAGTGGCTCTCAACCACCTGTAATGAGAGCTAGCGCCCTCTTCTGGCCTCCAGGCGTACATGCAGCCGGAGTACTGTATATATAATAAGTAAATATTTTTTTCTTGTTAAAAAGAGAGAATGTATGAAAAACTTTAGGGTCCTGCCTTGCCTGCTGTCAGCTGCCTTGAGTAAAATGTCACACTTTCTGCCACCCTGCCTGCCTTTTGGTGGGCTGCCGGGGACTCCTGTCCACTCTAAACATTCCACTACTACCCAAAGAATGTCGTTGTGAGGCTGCCCACTCCATGAGGAGCCCTGCAAATGCCAGGCAATTTTAGCCTCCAAAGGTAGAGACGAGATTTTCCCCAGAGCAAGCTGGCTAGTGAGGCTAAGCATCCTCCAGGTTTGACTGGCAGACCCCGCCTTAAAGGGTAAGATGGAAGAGGGGCTGAAGAAGGTTCATGTGCCCACACACATGAACACATACACGCACATGTTCCACACATGTGGAACTTATCGATAGATGCAGAAAAAGTGAACGTCACTATTGAGGTTTGGTGTCAGTCAATACGCACCCCAGACCATCATTAACAACCAGATGGTGGTGGCACACATCTTCAGTCCTAGCACTCGGGAGGCTGAGGCAGCTGGATCTCTGTGAGTTCAAGGCCAGCCTGGTCTACAGAGTGAGTTACACAGAGAAACCCTGTCTTGAAACCTTCATTAAGCGTGCGCGCGCGCGCGCACACACACACACACACACACACACACACACACACACACACAGAGAGAGAGAGAGAGAGAGAGAGAATATCATGAAGGAATCAAGGCACCTGGTATAGAATTCGCGAGTGAGTTACCACACGTGCTGGCATATAGCTGTCACCTGATCCAGAGCCTTTGGTCCACTCCCAGTCATCAGACAACAACAGTAAGGGAAGTGTGACAGACGTTGCAAATCTGTGATTAAATCTGAAAATTGGAAGCAATCATGAGAAGGAACTGTCGTCTGGGTACTAGGACGCTGAGGCCCGTGGGCCACCAGCTGGGCTGTTAGGGGGTTTGGACTGGCATTCTGGGTGTGGTGACACCCATGTGGAACCCAGGCACACTGGGGGACAGACCTCGACTGACACGTTTCTCACTGTTCACATGAAGTATAAGGGCAAAAGAAAGGAGTCAATGCATCGCATTTGGAAAACGTCAAAAGTTTAGAGAACACAAGAGGATGACCTGGGTCCTCTGCAAGATGGGTACGTGCTGTTAACAACTGAGCCATCTCTCCGGCCCTGCCCCCACACCTGCATCTAAACGGTCAACAACTCAGACGAAGGCAACAAAACAACAGGCAAACAAGAACAACCCCAAGTTCTGAAAGAGCATAACTAGCATTTATTTGGTAGGAAGTCCGACAAGCCGGTGGAGATGCTTCCATCAGGCACAACTGTCTCCCTGCACTCAGCCTTCATGCTTAAAAACAGCTGTTCAGAGCCAGCGGTCTGATGCACCAACAGCGCTGTGCTCACCACCACTACTTAGTTTCCGGAGCCCGTGAGTGTGTCAGTTCACATGGCAAAGGGGACTGTGCAGATTGAGTTTGGACGAGTAGCCACACGGGACAGTTAGAACCGAGAGTCCTTGACCCTCAAGGCTCTCTCATCCGAGGCAGGAGAAGACATGGAGACTCGTGAGGGAAGTGTCTGTTGCTGTTTATGTTGAAAGCAGTTGAGGAGCCACAAGCCAAGCGGGTTTCCTGAAGAGGCTGGCAAGGGCCCTCTCTGACAGCTATTGTGAAAATAGGAATCTGTGTCCCGCCACAGGGACTGAGGTCTGCCTGCAACCTCAGGCAGGGATGGTCGGGCACAGATCCCTCCCCCTCCCTCCCCCCCTTAGGGGCCCAGAAGAGAATGTGACACCTTTTACCCACCTGGCCTGCAGCTGAGGTTGGTATCAGGTCCCTGGAGGCAGAACCGAAACCCAGGAAGCTCAGCCGTATGAGCCGTAGGAGACTCACAAAGTCCAGCAGAATCTTTAACGCTCAGGCAAAACTCACCGAAACCATCAGGCTCAGAATGAGGTCCGTGCCCGTCTGCACCTGGCTTGGGCCAGGTTTACACAGTGGTTAGGGGTTGGGAGAGAGGGGTATGGGGGATATTTAGTGCCTGGAGAAGCACAGTGAAGTGTTATTCAGCCTCAGGCCAGCTAGAGGGACATCCATCACGGCATGACAGACTGTGGCTTCAAAGAGGGGCTTCTGCTCTGCCCTAAAGCAGGACTCTGCTTGGGAGTAGAGATGACATGGATGCCAAGAAGAACTGGCAGCTGGTTTAACAACAACAACAGCAGCACAGGTACCCTTGGGACGTGGGTGACCACTGCCAGTTGGAGAGCCCAGCATGGGCTGGACCTCTTGGGCCAGGAACCCCAGGCTGCAGGAGATGGGTGAGGATGAGGAGCCCAGGAGTCCTATCTGCAAATGCTCATTATCAGGGTAAAACCTAGACTGCTTACTACCTATGCGCCTGGAGGTGAAGGGTGACCCGAGGGAGGCCTCTTGGAGGCAGGAGAGAGTCACACAGGACCTACACTCTGGTGAGGAGTGGGAATAACAGGGGCCTTGAGAAGAACATGTGCACACACGGAGCTTTCCATTACTCCGTAACCACACACATTCCTGGGGAACTTTGACCCTGCTCTGGGAAAGGACTGCTTCCTATGCCGGGCGCCCACTGACGGATGCGGGCTCCTGGGAAAGCTGCTGTCAAAGTGAGGCCTGGAGGTCCTCCAGATGCATGCATTCTGAGCTTCAGTTTTCCAGGAATCACACCACAAACCTCATTCACACGGGAAGGACATGTACTCAACTGTTTGTGTTCCTGGGTTAAGCTCATCACATGATAACTCCGTCCACGGAATCCCGGTCACCCCATGATCTTACACATCAAAAGCAGAGAAGGGAAATGTGTCTTAGCAGATGTTAAGATACACCTCCAGGGCCACCAAGACTGCAATACAGCTGATACCGAGACACTGAAAAATACCACACTTGCTGTCTTACTCTCCACGATTCATGGAGAGGCCCCAACCCTCAGCATATCTTACTTTCTTTCCCCAAGCACCTTCCTTTCCCCTAACTCCTGTGCCTCACATCTATTTTAAGATAACTTCAATAAAATCTCCTGTTTCAGGCCAGCTTGGCGCGTGCCCAGGTCCCCAAAAGATCATGGGAGCTCCTCGTGACGCTGAGGGAGACATCATGGATGTGTGCCACACCAAATCCGGTAGATTCTGTGTGTACTAAGTTGCACAGACAGAGGAGATAACTTCAAAAGAAGGAGGTCTCCTGGAAATGGCTGTGGGACTCTCGGCCGGAGAAAAATATCAAGCTGTAGTTGTCATGGCAATTTCTATTCTTCTATTGTTTTTCTCGTATTAATGAAACGTTCCTGAAAGCCTACACTGACATTATAAACAAAAGAAATAAATGAGAAACCGTCCCCTGACCATGACTTCGTCTCCGGGAAAACCAGCACCTTTCAAACCATTCACGTTATTCACATAAGTAAATAGCATTAAGGCAAATACTCTCCCAACAGTAACATTTCATATGGCTATACATATGTCATCGAAAATGGGCTTAAATGTTTGGTTAAAAAATATAGCTTTTTAATAAGAAAGAGTCAAAAATAGCTCAATATTTCAAAAACTCACAAGAACTAGGTAATAGATGTTAAACAATAACTGACTATAAAAATTTATAGCCTGATCTAAGAAGCAGGCAGTTGGTCTTGAATGATTTTCTAATTTATTGTTTTGGTTAGCCTTGGACAATTTATATATTACTGTGCCTAGTAACAAGGATGCCATGTGTTCTTTCTGGGTTTTACTTCACTAAACACAACCCTAAGAAAATGTTTGTTTCATCCTGGATGAAAAACCTTGCTTTAGAGCTACAAAATAAACTCAGATTCAAACTACCTCTATATTTTTTCCATTTGTCACTGCCTAATCCTTACCCACCTAGTCTTCAAGGCCCCTTTTCCCAGAGACCCCCCCACACACCAGGCTGGGATGATCCATGGCAGATCTGTGTCCCTGTCCCTCACACCGACAACGCCCATGGAACTTTTTCTCTGGACAGGACTTCAGAAAACGCTGACCTGAAAAAGGCAGGTGCCACGGGGCTCCCAAGAGCCGTGCCAGGCTGGGCTGCAGTAGCTTGCAGTCCCTACAGTGACGGTGATACACCTGATTTGGAAGGGGGTGGTGTCACTACTCACAGTGGCGGCGTTCCAGTAGCATTCTGACCCCTGCTACACCACGTCCCAGTGGATCCTGTCTCTCAGAACTGTAAAAACCGGCCACTACTCAAGCTCCCTCCACTGGCTTTAGAATCAGAGAGCAGCTGCCAGTCAGAGCACAGCTTTGGGTGGCTTTTCCTGCCCTTCCAGAGGTGCTGCCCCCGCCCCCTGCTCTCCCCACCATCCAGCACCCAAATGATAAGCTACCTTCTTCCATGGCTTTCGCCTTTAAGGTCTGACACCACATAGACCGCTTCCCCTTCCCAATGCGCTCAGCAGTGCTTGGGTGCAGAGGGAATGACACGAGCAATCACAGCCACCACCCCGACACTACCCCCACCCCCAACCCCCCCAGGCCAATGCCACTACCCCCCCACCCCCACCCCCCAGGCCAACTCTGCCTCTCCCTCTGGGTTCTAACATTTCCAGGGCAATTCTTTTAACCACATAGAAAACCACCCCACCATTTTAGGGAAAGTTTGATACTAGTAATGCTTTAAGCACAGTATAAAGCTTGTATGTACCGTAATCTTCTGTGTACTACGGTATGTTCTTCTAGAGCCATCTCCATTGTGTACACCGTGCAAAGAATGTGTTTCTGAAGGTGACGCACACGCCGCTATCATGGCATTCGGTGCCTTAGCTGGTACCAGATAAATGGTAACCCTAGGAGAATGGCTGCAACTGTCTTTGAGATGAGACAGAGAAGGCAGCCTGGGGTAGGGTGGGGGGAGAGGAAGAGGGGAGGAGAGAGGGAGGGGGGAGAGAGATTTTATGCATGTGCTAGGATGCATATGTGTGTACGTGTCTGTTTATGTGCATATGTGTGTATGTGTATTTGTGTAGATGCAATGATGTTTGTGTATGTAGGTATGTAGGCATGGACAGTTGTGCCTGTATGCACACATATCTATGTTCATGTGTCTATAGGTCTACACGTATTGTCGTCCAAGCATGAGCACTTCTGATGGTAGGCATGGGTGTGTTCCTGTGTTCGTGTATGTGCGCATATACATATATAAGTATGCATGGTATATATTGGCTTAGGTGCATTTGAGTGAGTGCCTATGCAGATGGGTACAGAGAAGTTTGCATGCAGAAGGTGTGTGTGTGTGTGTGTTTGGGTGTGTGTGTACAGCTGTGTGTGTGTATATGTGTGTATACAGCTCCATGTGTGTATGTGTGTGCACAGCTGTGTGTGTGTACATAGCTGTGTATGTTTACAGCTGTGTGTGTGTGTGTACAGCTGTGTGTGTGTGTATGTGTGTATACAGCTCCATGTGTGTATGTGTGTGCACAGCTGTGTGTGTACATAGCTGTGTGTGTGTGTGTATGTGTGTGTGTATACTGTGGTGTGCAGGCTGTAGATCTGGTTCCAGACAAATGCTGGGCACTGAGATCACTGCTTCCCATCTGTTACTGCTGTAACCTTACAAAGCTCCTCCAGACAGACAGCATGTCCTAGCAGACAGACCACAGCCTACTTGAGACTATGAGCAGTGCTAAAATTCCCCCGTTGCCTGTCATTCAGCATCTGGGTCATTTGGCCATGCAGTTCCCACAAGACCTTCAATAATAAGTTTAGTTAAAACTTCTTGCATCGAGTGTTTTCTCGCTACGCTGGCAGGTGTTGAGTGTGTGTTAAAGGTTCACTGGGATCACAGGCACACCTGCTTCTCCACTCTGTCAAACTCAGTACAGCTGAAGTTCTACACAGCTTCCTTCTGCTTTTGAGCTGGTGGTTATGAAGAACCCAGAAGGTATTTTCCAGTGATTTGCTTCTTGTCTGGCAGCTCACTTTTATACTGCATTTTTTGTTGTTGCTCTTTGCTTTGTTTTTGGAGACAAGGTCTCACTATTTGACACACGGTGGAGTTGCATTTAGCTACTAAATTCTGGGAATGCAGGCTGGTGATATCTGCACAGCTAATATTCCCTTTACTTATTTGTAGGAATGAAATCTTTAACCATGTCAAAAGTAGCTGTAATGAGGTTGTTGTGTCCACCCTGTGTATTTAGGGTGCTGGGTGTCCCACCCACAGCTGTGCCTAATTTCTTACTGTCTCTGTGTTGGCTTCTCAAAATCTCTCTGTGTAGTGAGTTAAATAAAAAGTTGCATTTTGTAGGGGTCCAGAGAGATGGCTCTGTTATTAAGAGTAAGCAGTACTCTTGTAGGGGACTAGAGTCTGTTCCCAGCACACACACTTCATAGCTCATGGCCATCTGTGTCTCCAACTTCAGTGGGATCCCACACCTTTGGCCTCCCTGGACACTTACACTAATATGTTCATATCCCCACATACACATAATGAAAAATAAACAATAAATCTTAAGGAGGGCTGGAGAAGAGATGGCTCAGAGGTTGAGAGCATTGGCTGCTCTTCCAGAGTTCCTGAGTTCAATTCCTGGCAACCACATTCATCTATAATAAGATCCGTCTGATTCCCTTTTCTAGCCTGCAGGCATGCATACAGACAGAAACACTCTATACATAATAAATGAATAAATCTGAAAAAAAAAAAAAACCAAACCTCAAGGAAAGCATTACAGTGTTAGGACGGGGTGTAGCTAGGGTAGAGCAGTCACCTAGCATTCATGAGGTCTACGCTTCACTCCCAGCACTACAAAAACAGTAGACTGAGCTTGGTGACACAACGCTGTGATCCTAGGTACTCAGGAGTGAGGCAGGGGAGCATCAAGTTCAATGCCTGCGGTCACAATGTGACTGTGGGATCAGGCCACACACCCTAGTGAGACCCTGTCTCAAAATAAAAGGTAAAAGTGCATCTAGAAATGTAGCTCAGTGGTGGAGTGCTTGTCTGGCATGCACAATACCCTAGATTCAATTCCTAGTAACACACACAGACACAGAGACATATACATAGACACACACACACAGAGACATGTACACACAGACACAGATACACATACACTCCGAGAGACACACAGACACACAGGCAGAGATGCACACACAGACACACACACACACACAGAGACACACATAAACACATACACACATAGATACATGCACACACATATACACAGATACACACATGGACACACACAGACACTCACACAGACATATATACACACAGAACACACACACACACTTCCTTTCTAGACTGATGTCTCTCAGATGCTTCCCAAAGAAGGAAGCAGTGGCCAACCATCTCCAAAGCTCCAGTGTGAGGCGGCGAGAATAAAACCTCCCTGTGAGCCCTATTCCTCTCTCCTAAAACCACAAGGACAGGTACATAACAAAATCATAAGGACTTATTACGTGGAAGCTCGGTTGGCATGCCCACATCCAGTAAGAAACTCTTCCAGCCAGGCATCCCTACCATATGTGAGAAGCTAAGACAAGTCTGAAGAAAAAAAAAAAAAAAGTTGGGAAGGGATGCATGCTCACCCAGGAAATGCTGAGATCCAATGTGGAGTGGCCAGCTACCCACGCCTTGGTGGTTGTCCACGCTCCAGCCGTAGGACTGTGAGGACCATTCTGTCAACAGAAGCGACCGGCAGTGGTCACTGAGAGACTGGTAGTGAGCCACTACTTCCTATTTAAAAGCAACGCCTATCTGCTTGGATGCAAATGGTTAACCGTGTACAGCCTGTAGATTGTAAAAGGATTACAAATCATCATCATCACCATCATCGCTATCACCACCACTATCAATAAACATCACCCTAATCTGACTTGGAGTCAAACCAGAGTAAAGAGGAGAACAACTTTTGTTTTGTGGTTTCTCAAGGAAGAGAGCCTTTGTGCGGTTTTTCTATGTGAAACATTGGAGTGTATATCAAAGTCTCCTGGGAGGGAGGATGCTGGGGCCACCTGGAGGCAAGAGAGGGCATTTACAGTGTTCAGCGTGGCTCAAGACAGGGTCTGTCTGAAGCTCCTCTGGCTGTGTGCCCTGCTCACAAGTCCTCCAGGCACGGGGAAGGATGCTGCACCAGACCATAGCCAGCCTCATGGGACAGAGATGGAGGGGGAGCGGGCTACGGCGATGCTAGCTAGCTTCCATTCCTGGTCAGAGACCGAAAGTGGGGGGGGGAGCGCTAAAATAGAACGCCTAATCTCCAGGAAAAGGCTGGTGAGGGTTAAAAAGCTTGCCTTCAGGTACCGGTGTTGGATGTGTAGCTCGTTCCTCTCACTGGAGATGCCCCCCTCCTGGAAGGAGGCTGGAAAGATGCCAAAAGCAAACAAAATTTACAAGGTTGAGGAGATTCCTAAAGTTCATGAGAGTCACAAGGTTATATACGTAGAGGTGGCTGTGCCTGGAGCTCCAAGTATGCAGCTGCCATGCATTGCCGTCAATGCCAGGCTGGGGTTCCAGGATGCAACCTACCTTTGAGTGACCCCTCTAAAAACAACAACAACAAAACTATGGCATGTGTGTGAGTGTTCTGCTACATGTATGTACATAGATAGTGCTGGTGTTCAGAGGTCAGAAGAGGGAATCAGATCGCCTGGAACTGAGGCTGTAGGTGTTTGTGAGCCGCCATGGGGATACTGGGAATCGAAACCTAGGTCCTCTGTGAGAATCTTAGCCACTGAGCCGTGTCTCCAGCTCCGTGAAGAGATGTTTCTTCGTGTCTCCAGTCATTTTAATACTACAGAAGCACAGACTCGTGAAGCTGTTCACATTTCGGTGGCCAGGAAGCAAGTCCCAGGAAATGCTGAACACTACAGAGCGGAGACGCAGCGGTCACCTCCCAGCATGGCTGACTGACCCCTACTCTCACTTCCTAGAGCGGTCGATCACGCGGTCTCACAACCCGCGCCCCCGACTGGCTCGGTCTGGATACACTTTGTTTTACACCTTTATGTCCCACAGAGCCTTGAACTCAGCTTGTCCCCAAGCTTGAGTGTGACAGGAGAGCTGGGACCTGTCCTGCTCAATTCCTCCAGGGAACTGGCTTTGGGGCTACATGGGAGGTGAATTGTCTGCAGATCTCGTGATCACAGATGCCCCTGCTCTTTGGACAGACGGACAGACGCCTCCTTCCCTCTTCTATGGCAGAGCCTGGGATTTCCCTTGGTTCCAAGCAGCCTGGGCCTCTTGCCTGTGGGAAGCCCTCGCTATCAAAGTACCTTCCCGTGCCTAAAACTGTCACCACAGATAGGAAGGAAGCTGGAAATGCTTCTTCCTTGTGACCCCATTCTCATCCTGCAGTGGCCTCAGCTTCTACTTCTTTCTGGGGTAGAAACTGGTATGAGTACCCATCAGGGGGTTTCTGGCCACACAGAGGAAGATGCTGGGCTCCTAGGATGCCTGTGGACACACATGGCTGTCTTGGCCTTTCTACTCAGTGATTCCCACTCCTTCCGTGGCCTTGTTTGTCATGAAGAAGAGACAGAGTCTCACTACGGAACCCCGGCTGGCTGTCCTGGAACTCACCGTGTACACTAGGCTGGCCTCAAACCTGCTTCTCTGCCTCTCAGGTGCTGGGTGTGCTACCACACTCACCCCCCCCCCTCCATAGGAAGCAAATCTCTTACAGAAAAATAGCCCCAGAAATGACTCATCTCAGAGAAATAAAAATCAATAAAACAGATTAAACCTTGTTAAGGACCAAAAAAAATATATATATATATATTAAACAGAAATCCTGCATGTTAGTCTCCAAGCACTGTGGGACAACCACCCCGAAGGCTGGGAGCCATCTTCCTATCCTGAAAACAGGGATCCAGAGCTGAACTTCCAAGAGGCTGGAGGGGAAAGGTCCTCAGGGCCGGCTCTGACCTCCATTCTCCACCCTAGGGAGTAAAGTGAACCACAGAATATCCTCCCTCTGACTTCCAGGGTTCTCAGTCCCTGCCGGATGACTTCCATTCAGGCGGCCACTGGTGCAGCTGTTATGGAACTCTGCTCCCCCAAACAAACTTCACAGTGCTTTGTGTGCCTCGTCCCAACATTCCTTCCACGCCTCAAAGGAAAATCCAAGTTATACATCACCCCGGAAACACCCATGGACCCATTTTCCAGTGCGGCTGGGAAGAGAGGAGATGGTCACATAGGTGAACATCTTTTTAACTACAGTCTGGATACTGCATGCTGGGGGGGGGGAAAACTAGGTAGAAAAAAACAGAAAAAAAAAAAAACCACCACATGTGTCAGAAGAGAAGACTAGCTGTGCAGTCCCCAACACCCGCCGCTGGAAACAGTACTTGGCCACCGTCCACTCCACTTAGCAAAGGTAGTGAGCAAAGGGGCCTGACTGTGAGGTTCACTGACATGGATTGAGGGCCTTCACCTCCGTTCTGCTTGCGGGGAAAAGCCACACTGACTCACAGAGACGGGCTTTGCTCATGTCTGTGTTCCAGGGCAAAAATGTAACAGCAGCAGCAGTTGCTACCAAACACTGTCGGTTGAGAATTCTACACCAGTGAGGGCTACTCAGATAGGCTACTCTGAATGCATTTCCACGGTGAGGGCATCAAAATGCTAGCAGCCCTGGAGAGGGGTGGAGGCCCTCCATGCCTGCTCCTCCGTGCCTACTTCCTCTAGCGCTATTGGCCTGAGTGGCGGTAAGCTACACTTCAACGGGGGCCGTCCACACCGAATACTGAGTTCCTTTGTCTCTGGGGCTGTGGGGGAGCTGCTCTTAGCAAAAGCACTATTTGCTGTGGTGAGTCTGCCCAGCCCAACCCTGGTCCTGGCTGGCTGTCCTACCCCACCCATATATATCTCTCGTTTTTAAGATGTAAACCTCTTCCACCTGCCTTGGTTTCCCCTTTCTGCTTCGTCATCTGTAGGCTTGTCAAATAAAAACATTTTATCGAGTAAAAGGAAATGTGTGGTTGGCAGGCATTTATATCTCGGCTGTGAAGTCTTTCTTTTTTTGTTCTTTGAGACAGGGTCTCTTGTGGTCTAGGCCGACCTTCCCCTTGCTGTGCAACTGAGGATAGCTTTCTGACCCTCTTGCCTCCGCCTCCCCAGTACCAGGATTACCGGTGTGTACATCATTCCCAGTTACAGGGCCGGGGACCAAACCCAGAGCCTCTGCCCTGCCCTTCTGTAGGTTCTGAATTCAGTTTCTTACCATTGTCCCTGGGAGCTTGCTGTATTGTATGTGGCAACCACAGTGACCAGATTGTTGGTATCTGTAACTGTTGGCGAGACGGCTATTCCTACCTAGCTCTCAGGGAAGGCTCCCCCAACTTGAGCATCTCACACACTCACCATGAGACACCACAGGAGAAAGCCGTGCTGTAACCCAACAGCTGGTGCAATCCCTGGTTGCGTTGCACTAAGAGCACACTCACTTCTAGCCTAGTTTCCCCTTTCTTGGCTTCCTGCTGGACACAGGTGTGCATTCCCTATGTGGCAAATGAAGACCCTTCGAAGGGCTGGAAATCTCATTCAATACCCCCTAACACACCACACACACACACACACACACACACACACACACACACACCCGTGAACTGTATGGTGTGGCTGTGTTAGTAATTCCCATCAGCTTTTGTCTATCGTGTTTTGTTGGTGTTCCTATTAACTCTCTGCTTTTAGAAGTTCCGGGCTGGGAAACCAGACAGTCCTATTTATCAGAACTGTGCCTAAAATAAGAGTCAGTATATTTGAAGGGACACCTGAGAGTCTCCCCTGGGAGAAGCACCCAGGCTCAGAGCAGGGGCTTGCGGTATCTATTTTGGCTACGGTCTCTTTTTCTGCTCATTTCCTCTTTTGGGGGACTGACTTAGGAGATATTATTAGAGAGGAGATCTCCAGGTAAGCCAGGGTGCAGGAAGCCTAAGGCACTTAGTGGGAGGACAACCAGGGAAAGCACAGACCTCTGGCGCTGTCATAGTCACAGTACAACAGCGTCTTTAAATGACACCCATTAACCCGCTATTTGTCACTTTCACTTGGAAGTCGATGTTACCGGAAGAATGTCTTCCGACGAATTGTGTGGCATCCCGCCTTCTCCTGATGGGACACACGGATGGCCCTCGGTGGACCTGGGCACTCCGCTTAGTGGCTCCAGGCTCACTGGTCACTTCCTCCATCATTGTTTGCTATCCGTCAGCACTAGGCAGCTGCCCCTCCCTCTGCCCTGGCCTTGTCCCTCTGCCTTAACTCTTCCTTACTCTTATGAGTCCATTTTCTCCTCTGAGCCCCACCCACCTTAGGTAGGATCATCTGGCTCTGCTGTCCAGCGAGCCCCTGGGGAGAGAGACACCGCAGCTAGTTTGGGTTTGTGAAATCTGTATTTTCTCTCCCTTTGCAAATATTTCTCATGCTCCTTTGCCAAGGCAAAAACAAAGCCAGTCTGAGATGTGCGAGACCTTGTCTCAAAACCAACCAGATAAGAAAATATCATATTCTACCTTCTTATTCGATAGGAAGAGAAGAGACCCTGACACCTGGCAATTTGGGACTCAGACTCCTTCTCTACTGCACCCGAAGGCACAACTCCTCCCCAGCCCTAAGCCCCAAAGAATACTCATGGTACTCAAAAGACTGACAAAGTGAACACCTGTCCTCCATCTCTACAGGACAGAAGGGACCCAAGTCTGTGAGCATCCCATTAATATAGGACTCGGTAATGTGACCACTGCAGTATTCT